TGACTCAGAACATATTACCTGACGTACAACTTAAGACATCTAGCAAGGTCTTCAGTCTGCACCACGAGCGTGGACGGGGTGTAGGCCGACCCCGTGCACGTCTTGCTCCTTGCCGAGCTTGCGTATTCGATGCACCGGCCAAACAACAGCTGCTCAGAGACCGGAAGCCCGAAACGTGTGTTTGCGGAGATCGCACAGTAACGGAGGTGCCGTCGCAGCTAGATTGTTCTATTGTCGAAACTCCAGCGCCAGTCCCAGACGTCCTCGGCTCTGTGATGGGGGTCTCGCTCTGCTCTGTGACGCGTGCCGGGGCACTGCTGCACTAGCCGCTGCCAGGCTTGTTGACACGCGGCGCTGCCTTCCCCATTCGATGGGCTAAACGTCTCGAACTTCCCTGCCGCCGTGCTGCTGAACCAGAAGGCAGAGACATAGCACGCGTTGCCTGGGGGAGCGCCGAGTGCTGGTCAAGCGGTCCGCTCTCCGATCTCCCTCTTTCAAAGAACTGTTCTGCATTCGGACAGCGGGCGGACGGCGTGGTGCGGCGGCGGCGGCGGCGACAGCGGCGGCTGCCTTACCGTGACCTGGTTTTACAACCGCCTGCGCCAGACGCATTTAAAGGGATGTGATAGAAGCACAAAAATCATGTAATTGCCGAAAGAAGACAGAGTGCGTTTCAAAATAACGCATACAGTTTCAATTTGCGTATTGATCAAATAAGAAATGAACATAGATAAAGATCCGAACGATTGTATGACAGATTGAGGTCAAAACGGAAGTCTGATACTTTGCGGATATGATAAGTTAATATTTGCCAGCTTACCTTCAGGGCAGATATTTCTCAGAGCTTACGCTGGGGAAAATCTGGCGTTGCCGGAACTTGGCCATGATGAGGTCATATCGCGTCTCTTTCCCCATCTGCGCCGAACACGCCCCGGTGGCGGTGCGCACGGGCGGTGTGAACTGGATAGAGCGGGATGGCCAGCGGAACCTGCACTTTATCCCGCTGCTCGCCGACGCTGAGGTCTCGCAGTAGGGGTTGTGTGACTGGTCTGCGCCAGGAGTTCAGTACGGTGTCCTTACGGCCTCCAAGTTTATCACTGGGATGGCGAAGACCCTGGACTGAAGAGAACCCTCGGTTTGCTGCTCACGCGCGGCGCGATAATAAGAGCCGCCTGTCCACGGACCACATGGTTCTCGTCCCCACCATGTTCAGTAGCAGCTGTTCCGGGGGGGGGGGGGGCAAGTACCCGTTACGCTGGAGGAATGGCTGCACCGTGACCTGTGTGTGCCGCGGCAGCTCACGGAGCAGCACGATGCTCCGGAAGAAGTCGCGTGAGCCCAAGTCGCAGCTGCTGTTCTGCCGGATGGCAAACCACACCGGCACATAGTGGCCAATCGCGTACTGGACAAAGTTCTTGAGAGCGCTGCTGGAGGTCTCGGTAGAGATGTAAGCAACGAGTAGGCGAGCGGCCAGTACCAACCATCTGAAAACATCAGCGAATAGATAGGGACAATTCTTGACGAAGTAGGCTTTGGATCGCATGAAAATTATTGCGCCTCTTTGGTGTATATAATTATGACTATTTTCAGTCGTTAAATGTTGCAGAATACATAACAGCAAATATGATAGTAAGCATGAACCTACGAGCAAATGATACGACATACCATGGCGCAACGCGAGATAACAAGACAATGCTCAACATTGTCTTGTTGTCTTGTCATTGAGCGCATGAAATATCAAATGATGCGTCATAAAGTTTAATCATGCGTTACCATAAGCTCAAAGATAATGCGCTTTCATAATTACCTGGCATGGTTTCACGGCCCAATTCTTCGCCGGGTTGTGGCGGTTCAGACGGAGTGGTTTTAAACGCCGGGGGCCAGCAGGTACAGCAGCTGCTAGTCGGTGCTCAGCTGCTGGATCATGTCAATCGGCAGGTTCGTCACGTGTTCCGGCATAGGTTCGAATGTCACAACATCTCCCTCCCAGACCTCTCCGGCGCGGGTCCTGCCGATGGTCCAGAGAAAAAATTGGTCCCGTGATCGTGCCGTCCAGGCTCAGCAGCGGGTGCCGAATGTTCAGCTCGTTGCCGTGCAGCTGACAGATGAACCAGTGTACGAGTGACTCGGTGGCTAGCTCAAACAGCCAGAACACGCTGCCTGTTGCCCCAGTATTAACGAGTGTGCCATCCCATTTGAGCACATTGACGTGACCGTCGCACTGCAGGCTCACGGAGTGTCGTTCGTTGAGCAAGTACATGGCGAGGCCGGACTCAGATGTGAAGTGAGTCACGCGGCGGCTGCCTGGCTCAGCGATGACAACGACGTGTTTTTCGACGGCGTTCGCGTGTGTGGCTTGTGTAGGTTTTGTCTTCGCGGCCGTCTAAATAGAGGATGGTCAAACCTGATTCGTAGATTGATTCAGTATTTTGATGAGCAGTCTCTTCTCTCACTCTATCTCTTGCGCAGCAGATCTTCTTAGTATCTACGATATTTGATTTCAAGCGGCCTCTGCGGCGGTCTCTGCTGTCGTGTTGGAAGGCGTTGATGATAGTAGCAGCGGCCCGGTTCGAGCCACCGTAGCTGTCAACCGGTAGAGTGGTGCTGGTCAGATCGTTAACGTTACGATCTGCAGTGACAGCGGTCTCACCCGGAGCGAGCAATCGGCATCGTCGCTACCTTCTACCCTGTACGGAGCCGTGGCATAATCCGTTATCCGTTATCCCTCATCCGTTAAACCGTTATTGCCCACACAACAAGCATATAAACTGTAAATCAGCATCACAATGATGCGTTAACAATCGCAACCTTAGACTTTTCCCCGGTCTACTGAAGCATTTTCATAACTGCACGGTTTCGGTTTTTACCAAAACTTAATGCTTTTTAATGAGAACAAAATATTCGCTGTTTGCGCAACGTCTTGGTAGTGATCTTCGCGATATACATTTCATACTTAATCCGCCAGGTACCAGTAGTGTGTAAAGTGGAGAGAACGAAAGATTGAGAATTGTGGGAGGATGACTCAGCGCTTCATGTAGGTGGCGGTAGTATGAAATGCGATATTCTTGGCCTATCGAAGAAAGAGTGCTTTTGCTTCACGAATATCGACATCGGTGCGGTGCGACAGACCTGAAAGTTTATTATTAATCCATGTGCCAAGGAAAAACCTTGTCGCAGTTGATTGCAAGAGATCCTCCCCCTCGATGACACATCCAAATGTCCAGTCTGCATCTAAACACGTGATGAAACTCCCCATGCATTCTGAGGGCTTGTGACCTTTAACGTGTGACCTATAAGCTTCTGATGGGATAGATTTCTGAGATCAGTGCTCACCCTAAGCAGTGCCCGTTGTATGAGCCCTGATCATGAAATTCTGGCTCAGCGACCGGACTTTAAGACGAAAGCTTTGCGTGCCGCAATGTTCAACACGGCTTGTCCTGTTCTCTGACGTCAATCTAACCTTTAACGCGGTAGCTGCCACCGGCGGTAGGCCATCTCAATCAGGGGCAAATGGCGAGCGTGACGCGGAAAGGGAGAGGGGAAGGATAAAAGGAAGAAGGGAGACGGGAGGGGAGAATGGAGGGGATGAGGGGGATGAAGGAGAGGTAAGGGATGGAGGAGATGGTTAGGTAGGGGAGATGGAGAGGGAGAGGGAGGATGGAGAGAGAGAGAGAAGAGAGAGAGAGAGAGAGAGAGAGAGAGAGAGAGAGAGAGGAGAGAGAGAGAGAGAGAGAGAGAGAGAGAGAGAGAGAAGAGAGAGAGAGAGAGAGAGAGAGAGAGAAGAGAGAGAGAGAGAGAGAGAGAGAGAGAGAGAGAGGAGAGAGAGAGAGAGAGAGAGAGAGAGAGAGAGAGAGAGAGAGAGAGAGAGAGAGAGAGAGAGAGAAGAGAGAGAGAAGAGAGAGAGAGGAGAGAGAGAGAGAGAGAGAGAGAGAGAGAGAGAGAGAGAGGAGAGAGAGAGAGAGAGAGAGAAGAGAGAGAGAGAGAGAGAAGAGAGAGAAGAGAGAGAGAGAGAGAGAGAGAGAGAGAGAGAGAGAGAGAGAGAGAGAGAGAGAGAGAGAGAGAGGAATAGAGAGGGAGAGAGCGGGAGGAAGGGAGGAAGGGAAAGTCCGCGCCTCTGCAAGGCGTTCCTTAGCTGGCCACCGCATCAGAAAAGAGGCATGAATGTCAAGGGCAGCGAGTTTTGCGCCCGGCCTCACCACGTTTACGTGAGCCACACATCCCAGCAAAGTGATCGGACATTCGGCGCCCTGCGCTCGCGGCATGGCGGAAGCCGGCGTCAAGCCGCCACCTCGGCAGTGAACGTTCGTCGGTGAACGTCCGCCGCGCACGCCGCGCTGACCTCGGCACCGACTGTTGCACAAGGTGAAAGACGTGGCCGCAGGTCCGACGTCACCGGCCGCCGAGAGTGTTCGGGCTAGTGGGCTGGTAGCGGCGCGGTGCGACGTCTGGGCGTCAGGAGGGGTCCGTTGGAAAGAGCCCTCTTCGTCATACATCGGCGACATCGACTTGATTTGGACGAACGTGGAAGGAGCGACGTGCACGGTATATGCACATTCAGCCGTGTGCTACATGTCACTACATGGCGCAGTTTTGTTCATCGCCTGGCTCAGGAACTTTGCAACTTACAGCCACGTTAACATGGATATAGTCCGTGCCACAGCAGCCTCCAAACCATTTCGAATCTAAAACGTCATCAGCAGCGCGGGTCGGCTCGATTTGACGGACGACACCCGCACACAAAACGCACGAGGTCGCGGATGCAGCAGCGCGACGTTCTCCGACATACCGGCGAACTCTCGCGCTTGGCGGCTTATCTGCCGCGACGCCTCTCCGCCGTCACCTTGGACTAGATGGCCTGCCCACGGCGGCGGAGCGATGTCAATGTCGGCGTTGCCTAACCTCGACCGGCGCCCCGTCGAGCGCCTCCCGCCGGCCCGCATGCCGTGCCGGTCCAGCGACGAGCCCAGAGGTGACAGCTGCCCCGCCATCCGGTCTGGCCGGCTGCGGGCGGGGGCGGGGGCCGGCAGGTCGGCCAGCCGGCGGAGTAGTACCGCGGCCGGCACTCTGTGAGGATGGCGCGTCACGTCCGGAGCCCGCCCCTGCTGCTGCTGCTGCTGCTACTGCTGTCACTGACCGCACCCTATGGAGGTGAGTGCCGTCTCTGCGGCGCATTTCTAGGACACATGGTAAGCATCAGTTCTGTCAGTGGTACTGCCTCGTTCATGCTGAATTCAAACTGGGAACGTGTAATTTTATCCGTGTTACAGTGGACCGGCTTACCGCAGACCGGCAGGCACATGCATAATATACAAATAAGGTACGACACAAACATATTTTACAATGTTGTTTTGTGGCCTTTTTGTCTTACAAATACATAACAGTATGAAAACCAATGTACGGTAGCGATAGCGAAATTCCTGCGTCTTGTAAACCGTTTGGTAACTGTCGCCACCCTATATCTGGAGGTGCCAGAAGCGCTGGAGGCACGAGCGCTGAGATGTGCAAGTGCATGCGGCGTCGGTACAGCAATCGGAAGCGTGCAAGTCGGCCCCGAGACATGCTCCTTGCATTTATGACACGTTCCCCCTGACTTGGGTGATCCACACTAAAGATGTAATATTTTTATCAAGGCGGTTTGAAGCGAACCTGTTGTGGTAGCAACAGTTTAGATAATGCGTGACCGGGGCCAGGGTGGGATTTTATTTCCATCTTTACGTCTTTATGTATTGCTGACGCTTTGACAAATGCTCGGACACAAGGTCGGGGAACCACATGAGGAGTGAGGACTGAGACTGAGGAACAAGTCTCAAATTATCTGTAAAATCTGGGTTTGCGATGACATCTGAGTTCGCAAACAGCGAGGTCAGTGAGGTTTTCCTTGCACGTCTTACGTTGTTCATTGATTAGCTTAGCATAGCCAAGGTATCTAATAAACTTTCTTAATGTCATGGGCATAGCCGTTTACAATGAGGCCGTACTGCCGACGTTTTCTACATTGAATGAAAAAAACACGCACTCAGGATAGCAGAAAAGCTCGAGTCTCAAGCGGACGTTGGGATCACTGACTGCATGTGTCAGCCCCATTCAAAACGCGCTCAAGTGTGGAGGAGAAGATACTAGATGCGGGCCTTCACCACCCGGTGAGCTTTGACCAAAAGATATAGTTATGAAGTTAAAGAAATAAGTATGCACGGTATCTTTGTCCGGTCGCCCATATATGGCGTTCACGAACACGATTTCCAGACATAGCGGCCGTCAATTGGCTCTCAAATCAATGTTATGCGAGGTGCGATGGCGCAACCAGACAATGACGTATTGAGGAGCATATTCACTGAATAGGGAAATTGTGTTGTCTAGAGCAGTTTTTCTCACTTGCAAGTATACTAACAGTTATAAGTGAACTTTTCATCATTTTTGGTGCTTGATTCAATATCTTCAAGCGTGGAACTGTTCATTTCAGTCCGCGGGCTCGTAATCTGCGCTTCAAACAGCTCAAAAAGTGTCTCTAATTCGTAATAGCTGGTGCCGGCCCTCGGCAGATGCCGCCATCGTCATGATGACAGCCGCCGCGACAAGTGCAGTTTTCGCGGGCTCAGGACGCACCCTGGGGTCAACAAGAAAGGAAGAAGTATAGTACTTTTAAAAAGCGTTGAAAGCGTCATTTGGACATGAAAATAGCTAAATTCATCTCATTGTAATAGCTTGATGGTGTTACGCCGGCACTACCAAGCGCTAGCGCCAGACGTAAATGATCCAGAGGTGTCATCAGAGTATGTTTATGAAATATTCCCCAAAGGCGGGACACTCACTTTAAAGGCAATTGAAACCTGTCAACTTGTCGCCCGCATATCTCGATGCCCCGTCAGAGAGGTTTGACGGCTGTTATGATCATGCATTGTTTACGACAACAATGTCAATCACACTGGCGCGTGTGCATATTTGTGTGGGGAGCGGCACCGTTTCGGACACAGCAATGGGGGTGGCAAGGTACTTGTGAGCGGATAGCGTGTACAACATGTCAGAGCTTTGCAATTTGGCACTGCATTGCATGAGCATGACATTTTTTTCGCTCTAACATTTCACCGGCGCTCACCGGCCAAGCGAGTGGTCTTTACTAGTAGCCACAAATCAACGAATGAGCAAAATACGAATGCACGAAATTCGTTAAGCATATCAATCGCTCTGCTGTACCGGTCATACGATGCAGGGATGCAAATATTTTCATAGTGCAACAGATGGCATGGTACAATATAAAACATTATTTACGGCACGCAAAGAACAAAGGTCATCAGAGCTTCAACGTCATGGAAGTAATGGATGGACCTGCTTAGACCCGAAAACTGTATTGAATTATGTATGTGGTATTGACTTTCAAGCATTCATTATTAATACCCATATTAGTCCTACCTGTCCCGAACAGTAGACTATTACTTTGCTGCCGAGCGTACAGTGATCCGTAGCGCATACGAAACGCGACCATATGGGTCAAGCCTTACCACTTAGCAAATGCAGGAACTCCGTGGATGGGGGAACCGCGAATAATGACGCCCGAAATTCGCTCGCTTTGAACTTGTTCATCGCTGCGGGTTAGAACACAAGAGGATGAGAATCCAGAAAAGTGCATAGATGCATGAGAGGCGGCATCTGAGGCACAGGCGGGGCCACCAATGATGCATGTTGCTGGTGACAACCACGAGGTCGGAGCCTTTTTCTGTCAAAAGCCCTGTGTGTGCACCTGTAACGGACGACGTGTATGGCGCGCCCAGCATCGCGCATTGTTCCCCTCCCTCCCCCTCCCCCCCCCCCCCCTCTGTACCACCGTCGGGTTGTATGGTTATCTCAGGCGGTGAATGTAGCGATTGCTACCAAGCGGCAGCCATAAAAGGGCCGTATGGACGGAAGCCAGGCTTCAGGAGTTCCGTATGACCTCGTTTGGCTTGGAGATGCTGTTCATTCATTTTCACATTCACATTCACACATTCACATTTCACATTCATTCACACATTCTGTAGGCTCTCTCGTCTAGTACGCGACTCCGGAGAATCTTGCTGTGAGCCGGTGACGTTCCAACCAGATATTGAGGGAGTGTAACAAATCCCGTCCTGGCTGGGGGGTGTACAGGATTCACAGGAGAGGGTTCCCTTGGCGCGCCGCTCATCCCTCGCTTGCCTGCCCGCTCGCCGACAGAGAACCTCTTGCCCTTGACGTGACCTCTATAGTCACAGTGTGCGTAGGTACTCGTTGCGCCGTGCCTGCCGGAGGATGTTGACGCTGTTTCCGCGCCCTGTTGCCTCAGCTGCGACCGAATTTCTCCTCTCCGGTGAGCCCGGTCTACTGAAAACCGCCGGTCACGGTCGACAATCGTGACACTGGCGAAACCCACACCGTGTCCTGGACGGCAGACTCATCAGGGGCACGGCGAGCGTGCAGGCCGTCACCGCTGACTGCCGCGAGCAGCGCGATCTGGGACAACCGGAGCGCCGGGCCGGGGACGAACGCTGCGCGCGCGCCCAGCCGCACCACGGCCTCGGTGGTGAACGCGCGCCGGCTGGGGGAGGGTGAATTGACAGTAGTTTTCCGAAAGATGAGCACGCTATAAGAACAAGCTCAAACAGAGAAACACATACGAGCTTCCCCAGCACCTACTACGCAAGCAGAACGCTGGCATTGCTTTATTGCGTTGGTTACATTTTGTCTGCTGTTTTCACCCAGAACTAGCTGGAGTTCGAAGCAAATAAACCAAGCTCTGCGTATAGAAGATGATTTTTCGCAGTGATGTTGGAAATAGACAACTTCAGTGAATTTAAAGGAAGTGTCCCAGCTTTGGGGCAATTTTCAAAAATATACCGTGGTAAAATTTCAAGGTCATTTAGTGTAAAAAAACTGGGTAGCGCCATTGCAGTACTGTCGAGATTTGATCAAGATATAAATTACAGTTATTTTTTAGTCAAAATTACGCTGTCAACGCTATGTTACACCAATACACTTCTTCGCTTGGCAGCCCCAGACATATCATTTATGCAGCGACGAGCTCCAATTTCTCTGAAAAGGTTTCTGAGGTGAATTATGGCACGAGAACATCGAAAATGGCCTTTAATTTGCAACATTACGTGACCTTCAAGGCTAAAAGCTGGGTAAAAGGATGGAGAACTCGATATCACCAAAAAATTACCGGCCGATTTGAAAGCTGCAGACATCAAAATATTAACAAGCTAGTGGCTTGTTATTATAAAATAGTATTATATTATATTAAAATAATTATATAAAATAAAAAAGTGGCTTGTTGTTATAAAATATTAAAGGCTAGTGTCCGTCGAAAAGTCTTGACCTTTCAAGGTCACCTTTTAAAGTCAAACGCGGGCTCAAAGGAAAAGCTCATTATCGCCCAAAAACTACCGGCCGATTTTAGCTTGCAAACATTAGAATATTAACATAAGAAAGAACTAGCGCCCGTCAAAAAGTCCTAACCTCTCAAGGTGACCCTTCAAAGTCAAAGGTATGATCAAAGAACGGGGAACTCATTACCACCCAGAAATCAACGGCCGATTTTTAACTTTCAAATATAAGAATATTCAGCACAGAAAGAATTAGCGTCTTCAAAATGTACTGACCTCTCAAGATCACCCTTCAAGGTCAAACACAGACTTGGAGAACGGGAAACTTAATATCACCCAAAAATTACGGTCCGATTTTTAATTTGCAGACATCAGAATATTCACCATAGCAAAAATTAGCATTCGTCAAAACGTCCTGACCTCTCAAGGTCAACCTTCGAGGTTAATTCAGGCTCAAATGTCACCCAAAAATTACCGGCCGATTTTAAACTTACAAGCATCATAATATTCACCACAGACAAAACTGATGTCCGTCTTAAAGTCCTCACATCTCAAAGCCTCCCTTCAAGGTCAAACTCAGACTCAAAGAACGGGGAACTCAATATCACCCAAAAATTACCGGCCGATTTTAAACTTGCCCTGACCAGAATACTCACTACAGAAAGGACTAGCGTCCGTCAAAAAGCCCTGACCTCTCAAAGTGACTCTTCAAGGTCAAACGCGTGCTCAAAAGACGGAGAACTCAATGTCGCAAAAAAATTACCGACCGATTTTAAACTTGCAAGTATCAGAATACTCAACACAGAAAGAACTAGTGTCCATCAACAAGGCCTGACCTGTCAAGGTAACCTTTCAGGGTAAAACGCGGGCTTAAAGGACTATACCAGTTTGACGGACGCTGGCTCTTTCTGTGGTGAATATTCCGATGTTAACAAGATTAAAATCGGCCGATAACTTTCGGGCGATGATGAGTTTCCAGTCCTCTTGAGCCCGCGTTCGACCTTGAAGGGTCACTTTTAAGTTCAAGACTTTGTGACGCATGTAAGTTATTTCTGTGGTAAATTTTCTGACATTTGTAAGTAATTTGACCTTGAATTGTGTCAGAACTTTTGACAGACACGAGCCCTTGCGCTTGTGAATATTTTGATGCTTGCAGTTTTCAAATTGGCTGGTATTTTTCTAGTGATATCGGACTCCCCGTCCATTGACCCAGCTTTTGACCTTGAAGGTCACATGATGCTGCAAAATAAAGGTCATTTTCGATGTTCTTGTGCCATAATTCACCTCGAGACCTTTTTCAGAGAAATCGGAACTCGTCGCTGAAAAATCGATGAATAAATCACTAACTTAACGGACATGCCCCAGAGTGTTTTCCGAATTCCGAAATTCGGCAGTTGCGACGGCCGTCGTTATAACTGCATGACGACGGCAGGATATGCTGAGGGCTGTTGTCAGTTGTTACGGGTCAGAGGTACTGCTCTCAACTGTTTAAACCGGTGAAATGCGGGTCTACAGGCTTAAAAGTGACACCTCCACTGGTATGAATACCGTCAGTACAACCGATCGCTTGTGATTGACACAGCGGGTGCCAGGGGCCAGTCACCGAGAAGCGCATTGGTCGAAGTTTGAACCACTTGCGTAACTACAGAGCATGCGATGCTTCCTTACCCAAGACCAATGTGCGCTTCGAAAATAGCAATTGTGCTAAACGTCATAGAAGACAAATCATAGACACACCATAACGTTTCGTTGAGTTCTCAGGTTAATAGCCTCATGTTTGCATGACTTGTCCCCTGAAAAGTGTTTCCTGCTTTTGTCGCATTCTTACACAATCGTTTTGACAAATTAGTGTGTTACAAACATTATAGAATAAGCACGTTGGAAAAAGAAAGCAATTTAAATGCATCGCTTTCACAGTGGTGAGCAGTGAGTCCAGTGAGGTTCCTCCGGAATGAGCGGCTACTCTAATTTGACATTCTGAGCAATGCAGACGGATTGCAAGAAACCCGGTATTATCAATCAAATCGGACACGTCAGATGCAACAGTAAGAAAGAAACACAAAAAGGTGGCATGCACCCTTTAAGCGTTTCGATACGGACAAATCATAATGCTATCGAAAACCATGTTGTTATTTGCCTGATGGAATTATCCTCCTCACTTCTATGTCATTAAGATGCCATTCGCTCCTGACACGTTGACAATGATTGAGTGGCTTGAACAGGCCGACCCTAGATTGAGCGCGCCAAGGCACGCCCTGATTACCACAGGTAACGGGCGCCACCATTTCGCACAAGATGAGCTGGCATCGCGGTCTGCGCTGTGACCACACCCTGCACCATCCCCAAATCGTGACATCGCGGTCTGCGCTGTGACCACACCCTGCACCATCCCCAAATCGTGACATCGCGGTCTGCGCTGTGACCACACCCTGCACCATCCCCAAATCGTGACATCGCGGTCTGCGCTGTGACCACACCCTGCACCATCCCCAAATCGTGACATCGCGGTCTGCGCTGTGACCACACCCTGCACCATCCCCCAATCGTGACATCGCGGTCTGCGCTGTGACCACACCCTGCACCATCCCCCAAATCGTGACATCGCGGTCTGCGCTGTGACCACAACCCTGGCACCATCCCCCAATCGTGACATCGCGGTCTGCGCTGTGACCACACCCTGCACCATCCCCCAAATCGTGACATCGCGGTCTGCGCTGTGACCACACCCTGCACCATCCCCCAATCGTGACATCGCGGTCTGCGCTGTGACCACACCCTGCACCATCCCCCAATCGTGAACAGAATCCAGTGATGTATACGGAAACCTGTGGAACAGGAAATGTTTGCAGGCTGTGGTTTTACCGACTGTGGTTACCGGTGCTGTGGTTTTACCGACGTGCGACCTGTTCAAACTTGCAGCGCTTTCCGGCAGAACTGCAGAGTAGCACCGAGTCCGTCCCGGGGGCTCAGCCGGTTAGAGCGCCCACCTTCCGATCCGCCCACCCACGGCAGGGTGGGTTTGCGTCGCTTTAGGACGCTTGCCCTTAACAGGTATGGCCTGCGGCCGGTGGCAGCGGTTGCGGGAAGGGTCAGTTGACGTCAGAGGGCAGGACGGACCATGCCGAGCATTGCGGCACGTTAACCTTTCGCCAATAAATTCTGCCGTTGCTTGGAATTGCGCGATCCGATGGTGGGGGCTAGGGCTCACACAAGCACTGCTTAGTGTGAGCGCTCATCCCAGAAATCCATCCACTCCAGGGGTTAGAATCAAATTTATGAGAAAAAATGTACCGGAGCAAGCCAACGGCCTCGAATCTTTCGCTGAACAATTCACGGCAACGGTTCTGAAGCCGCGTCCTGAAATGGCAACAGCCGACCAAAGCATGCGCTCTTAGCAACTCACTATCGTCACGTGCAAGCCGGACCTGGTCCTTTTCATTCAGCAGTGTGGGTTCCTTCTACCGTCGACGCCTGGCATCCACGCGGGCTCTCCTTTCCGGTCGGGCGGCGGTGTGGAGCTGAGCTCTCGACCCCCCCCCCTCCCCTCTCTCCCTCTCCGGCCCGGCGCCGCGGATGCGGGCTGTTGTCGGTCTCGCCGCGGAGCGCGTGTCGAGCTGCTGACGCTTCACGCGGGCGCCGCCGTTTTTCCGCGTGGGTAAGCTGTGGGACTGACTGCGCTAATCCCCTTACGAGACGGGTGTGTGTGCGGGAGGGAGGATAAGCGGGCCGCTCGGGAGCACAGCCCACCTCTAGCGGATTCCAAACAAACTATGCCCGGGGCCGTCACGTGACGGTTGTGCCTCTGGGAGACTGCTTGCTACGGGCTGTGTGGGTGAGATAGAGAAAACCGACGTGGAGACTGAACGCTTGAGCCGCTCCGTTGCGCGAAATTTCAGCGCGGCGACGGGGAAACCGCGTCAGATTTTGCGCCCAGTGAACTCGTAAATGGCTGAAACGCGTCATTGTTAACCTTGAACGGATAAAAGGCGGACTTTGGTAACCTTGAATGTGTTGTGAAAGCTTCTGTTCGTCCACAATACGATGCAAGCCCATATGTATACAAGGAAGGTTGCGACACTGCCAGCCTTAGCAAGTAGCGTAACGTTCCATTGTCAAGCTGACGGTATCACAGGCGGTCAGAGAACAAACTCCCACCCGAGCTCGCGGGTGACCACAATCCCAATCACGACGCGACTGGAAGACGTACTGCTTGTTGACACTGTGTGGTGTGGTGGCCGCGATCTCACTGGTGTTTTCCGGTCTGCTCGGACGACAGGCATACTCGGACAGGCCGTGAGCTCGTGCGATGACTACTGGCTAACTCCCACTGGCCGCCAGGACCGATATCGGACCAGAGCGATGGTCAGTGACGAGCCGCTGGTTTGTTCCAACAATGAACCCCACAACAGACCTAAGTGGCTCCCTTGTTTCCAGGTGTGGTCAGAGCCCAGAGCCCGCCACTGATTAGTGACCAGTCTCCCTTGTTTCCAGGTCTGATCGGAGCCCAGGGCCCGCCGCTGAGTTCGGACCAGTCTTCGTTATTTTCAGGCCTGGTCACAGTCCAGAGCCCGCCGCTGAGTAGTGACCGGTCTCCCTTGTTTCCAGGTCTGATCGGAGCCCAGAGCCCGCCGCTGAGTTGGGATCAGTCTTCATTGTTTTCAGGCCTGGTCACAGTCCAGAGCCCGCCGCTGAGCAGTCATCAGTCTTCCTTGTTTCCAGGTGTGGTCGGAGCCCAGAGTCCAGAGCGGGCTTGCGTGGTGAGCGGCGCGGAGCGCGCCTGCCGGGATATCTCCGCCGCCTGCTCGGCGCTGAACTGCGGCACCAGCCGCGTCTGCGCGGTAGCCCTGAGCGGCGCTCTCGTCTGCCTGCCGGCCAGCGCGCGCGACTTCAAGAACTGCGGACCGGAACGCCTGCGGCTGACCCAGCCCTGCCCGGCCGACTCCGGGATCATGGGCTTCGGACAGGGCTGTACCTTCTGCCGCGGCGGCAACCCGTTCTCGCCGGGCCCGGCTCCCCCCGGCGGCGTCCAGCCCGCCCCGCCAGACCTGCTGAAGGTCTCGCCGCAGCCGCCGAGTCCGCCGCTCCTGTCACGACGGGCGTGCGTGGTCCGGCACGTGGGCAACGGCGAGTTCAAGAACGAGTGCGTCGATATTGCGGCCCGGTGCAGCCGGAAGGGTTGCCCGTCGGACACGGTGTGCGGCCTCGACCTGGACGAGCGGATTCAGTGCTTCCCACGGTCTGTGAAAGACTTTGAGAACTGCGGCTCGGAGGTCTTCCGACTGTCACAGCCGTGCCCCGCGGACGCGGGGATCAAGGGCTTCGGAATGGGCTGTAATTACTGTGTAGGAGGCAACCCGTTCTCGTCAGGTCCGCAACCTCCCTCCGTCCCGCCTCTCGTGAGACAGGCAGCGGAAGGGCCAGGGACCGGGCCGCGGCCCCCCAGTCCCCCCACATTTGGAGCTGCCAACAGGGCGTGCGTGGTGCGTCACATCCGTAACGGCGAGTTCAAGAAGGCATGCGTTGACATTTCCACCCGATGCGAAGAAAGGAAATGTCCGCGAGGCACCGTTTGTGGGCTCGACTTGGACGAACAGGTCGGATGTTTTCCAGAGTCTGTGAAAGAGTTTGAGAACTGCCGGTCAGAATCATTCCGACTCTCCCAGCCCTGCCCCGCGGACGCCGGGATTAAGGCCTTTGGCATGGGTTGCACATTCTGTGTGGGCGGCAACCCGTTTTTTCCCGGTCCCGTAGCCCCCTCTCCGCCCAGTGGCCGACCTAACGGGAGGCAGCTGACCGGTGAATTGAATACGTCTGGATCTAGCCCACTGCAGGCAGGCACCGCTTGTGTGGTGGTTTACGACCGCGACTGGCAGCGGAGGGAAAGGTGCATTGACATTTCGGAACAATGCAGTCAGAAAGCCTGTCCGCAAGGCAGCGTGTGTGGACTCGACCTGGATGAGCAGATCCAGTGTTTCCCGGCGTCGGTGAAGGAGTTTGAGAACTGCGGACCGGAGTCGCTAAGGCTTTTGCAACCGTGTCCGGCGGATGCTGGAGTGCGAGGCTTCGGCATGGGCTGCACCTTCTGCAGGGGCGCCAACCCGTTCGAGCCAGCGGGCCCGCCCCCGCCCGAGCCGGGTCTCCCCACTCCCACTCCTCTGCCACCCACCGGCGAGCGGTCTGGACGGGCGTGCCTGGCGACGCCGACGGTCACCGAGTGCCGCGACATCTCGTCCGAGTGCCTCGAGCGGGGCTGCCGGGCCGGCTCCGTCTGCGCGCTGGGGCTGGACGGCACGCTGCGGTGCCTGCCGCCGTCGGCCACAGAGTTCCAAAACTGCGGGTCCGAGTCGCTACGCCTCTCGCAACCATGCCCGGCCGACGCGGGAATCCGGGCCTTCGGCATGGGCTGCACCTACTGCGTCGGCGGCAACCCGTTCGCCGCGCCGACGGCGTCGCAGCCGCCGCCGCCGCTGGGCGAGCGCCCTCTAGCCTGCGTGAGTCGCATCACCGGCGCGGGTGAGATGCGCCGCGGCTGCCTGGACATCACCGAGCTGTGCCGACGGCGCGGCTGCCCGGCCGACCGCACGTGCGCGCTCGACGTCGACGAGCAGCCGGGCTGCTTCGCCGCCAGCCAGCTGACCGTGCGCAACTGCGGCTCGGCACGCGAGCGCATGGCGCGGCCGTGCCCGGCCGACACCGAGGTGTTGGCGTTCGGCGCCGGCTGCACCTTTTGTCGGGGCGCGGACGTGCCGCCGCCGCCCCCGGCGTCGGTTGCCGCCGCCCCCGTCCGCGCTTGCATCGTCACCGGCGCGCTGCGTCGCTGCGACGACATATCGGCACAGTGCGAGCGACTGGCCTGCGCGGCCGGCAAGCTCTGCGCGCTGGCGCCGAGCGGCGCAGCGCGCTGCTTCGAGTCGGAGCGCCTGGCTGACGCCAACTGCGCCTCGGAGCGGCGCCGGCTGGACCAGCCGTGCCGGTCGGGCGCGCGCGCGATCGCCTTCGGTCCCGGCTGCACCTACTGCGGCCGGCCGTGAGCTGGCGCCGACGCCCGGGCAGCGGCGGATTTGGCAACCGGCTGCCTTTTACGGTGCAGCGCAGTTCTGGAAGACAGGACTGACTTGCTATTCGGCGGAGGCGTACGGGACGGGCTTCTGACGCTCGGTGTGTGTTTCTGACAGGCCCGTAGCCGCAACAAACTACCACGGGGTGTCTCAGCGTCTCAACAAAAAGCGGACGTTTGGTGTGAGCAGTGCCCTTCCTTAAACTTTTTTGACAAGAACATTTTACCCGTGCACAATTTGCTGTAGACAGCCCAAGAAAAGATTATATTCGTAAAACCCGATTCCGGTTGCAACGGTTGCAAGTACAACGGTTGCACGAAAGGCTAGGGATGCACCCCACATCCCAGAGGTTGCACGAGCACCCAATGCCACCGTCTGGCTACGAATCTGGTTTCTGAGCTTCTCAATTTGACACGACGCGGCGAGCTTTCTGCCGGCCAAGACTTTACATTGACTTCTAATGGGATTGACACAGGGCGGGGCGGGACGAGGTTCACGCGGGACATGACTGGGCACGGGGCGGAGCACAGCTATCACGGGGAGCACCATACTGAGCCGTGACAGGGATGATGCCGCGTCACCGCCCGGCCGTGGGGAGGTGATGTTCCTGACTTTGGATAATAAATGCTGCTGATGGCCTGACAGGCGCGCGCGCGCGGCGGAGCGTTGCCGCTGGCAAGGAAGACGGCGGGTGTGCCGCTGGCATGTTCGGGCAAGCCGGGCGGAGAGAACGCCGATCAACGTACCGGCTAACAGTGTTGGATAGGGCACGTTTGTATTCAACACTCGTAAGATGTGGCTGCATGGCTAGCGCACACGTGCTCAGCACGACATGCGGCGACAACAATTTAACATTATTGAAAACATCGTGCTTTGGTCGGACATGTGTTGCTTGTGACGTGTTCCCATGTCGTTGGTAATACAATTTCCAATCACTACATCAGCCTTACCGATCCCGTTGAGTGGTAGTTGAAACGAATGGGAGTGCATTTGAGTTTGCCATTCGGTACGTCTATTGGTTTTAATGGTCACATCTGTGGGCTGGACAGCTATTCCCATCATCGCAAAATGACAGGTCGGATCTTGGTGACTTGTTTTGCAATGTCGTGAACGGAACGTTCCAGCTGAATTCATGCATCATAGTGATTAGCGTTTCTCACGCCGTTTGAGAACGATGTCGCGAGTTGTTACGACGTGGAAAGCATTATAAAAGAACGGGCCTCATAATTTTTCGTTCTGGAACATTTCAAACGTTGACACTCAAAGCTTGCTCTCCGGCCCAAACATTTTAAACATTGTCACTTTGAGCTTGGTCTTCGGTCGTAGTGCTGCGACCTAAAATGGCGCAGAAATGAAAGACCCAAAATCGCCAATTGCTCCATTGACCTCTGATAATGTATTTTCTTCTCGGGTAAGCCCGTTCACTCTGTGCGGTAGATAGCTAACCTACCGTTGACGCTACTGCCGACGAGGGCCATCCCTTACTTCGCCACGGGAGGGAGAAGTGTGCTAGGTCATGTTTACATTGCAAGGCATAGCACCAACCACTGCGTGTTTTCTTTCCATATCGAGCAAAAATAAAAACACACCGATGCGTGGCGGGGAAATACGGATGTTTTCAACCATGCAATGGGGGCAATAACTACTTGAAATGATGCACACAGGCCTGCGCTGCTGCAGCGTTCCACACATTTCCCTGGACTGAACCAGACGGTTCACTTCCACGTTTGGACTCGGTGTTCCCCAACGCACCCGTGTCGCACTTCCTGACGCCACCTGTATTTTCCTCCATGTGACTCCGTGTGTCATGAATAATTGTTTTCGGATGATGCGCGGCTCCTACCGCACCTGTAGCATGGCCAAAACTACGCGGAATTATGACGGCGTAAAGAGGAAACTGTTACCAAGTGGAAGCGCGCGGTGTTAACCAGCAGCCTACGTCTTAATGTTGTAAACTCTTCATCCAAAACGACTTTTTTGCTGGCTCCAATCTCTTCCTATTCTTAATTCCAAAGTCCAAGTTCTGTCTCGACGACAGCAAAACTCGTTTCAAGGCGAACAGGATTCGTTCCGAGAATAATGGCCGCTTGCTGGCCTTTCACATTCCGATAGTCAAGGCGCACCAGCGATGTTAAATTTTAAGGGTCAACTGGCTTCCAAGGTCCCTTCATAGTCCATGCTATGATAACTGTCACGTTTGCAAAATGGAACATGTGCCAACGCTTGCTTCAACCCAAACGCATTCATGACATCACCTCATAAAACACAAGTTTCCATGAACGAAGTAATATCCATAAAATCAAAAGGGTCATTCACCAAGCATCATATTAACAATCGAGTCATCTGCAATACAAAACCAACCGCAATGGTGCGAAACCACAAAACCGGCCGCAGATAATACAGGAAATAAATACAGAAAGAGTTAGCAATAACATAAAGGACACGGAAACAAACGCCACATTCTCCTCGCAGCATTCCGTTCCAGTCAAGCACACCTCGGTTACACCTTTGCATGAATTGCATTCGTACTAATCACAACGCAGAGGCTCTCGGTGAAATTATTGGTGTGCCCAGCCCGAGACCACCGGCCCTCGGAAACGTGCCGCAGCTGCGTGCATGACCCCTCCCATAAGCGAGAGATTGGGCACGTGGAATGGGCGCATGCGCAGATTGTGAACTGGCACATGGCAGGACGGCGAGGATGCGATATTACTGCACGGCGCCGGCCACTTAAAAAGCCGCTCAGCCCCAACCTCAGCGTTGAGGGGCCTGATAACCGCGCACCTGTCCCTAAGCTGCCTGCAGCCCACCTCCACCGATCCCCAGCCTCGCCCACAGAGCCGTGGAAGCTCCACACGTGCCTTCAGTGCGCTCAGGACACGCCAAGCGCAAGTCTAAGGCCTCGCGAACACGCCGCTGTCCTGTGCGGCGATCATGACGGCAGCATGTACATTACCAACATGGCCACACGTCCGGGCACGGCCAGCCGCGGCTGCCATGCCTCGATCCACGTCACACTCCCACTCAGCCACCCCCACCTCGCAGTGTACGCAGGGCGGCGCACGAGTCGCGAGTGAGCAAGCGGACACCGCAGATGTGCACCCCGGCGCCTCCACTGCACAACAGCCAAAACGCACAACGCAATCTGGAAGATGGTCAGGCGACTGTCGAGTGCCAACCCGAGAGCCGCGCCGGTGCGCGCCGGAACCGGGCTCGCCGCGCCCCGTTCTCGTGACGTCACAGCTCGATCTCCCGCGGTCCGGTCCGGCGCCCCGGGCGGTATCACAGCAGGGCCGGACGGGCCGCGCGAACGCTGCCGCTGCCGCCGCCGCCGCCGCCGTCACCGACATCTCATCGCACCTTCACCGATAGTCCGAGTATTTGCTGCGGGCGGCAGACGGCGGGTTGGTCAGCTGCGGCCGCCGTCGGCCGCTGCGGTGCGGCGGCGGGGGGGGGGGGGGGGAGGGCAAACAGTGACGGCGGTTGGTGGCAGCGCGGGGTGATGTGACCGGTACAGGGGGCACACGGCCCGACGCATGCGCACACAATACGATACAGACTTATGTGAAGAGGTCCACCAGCCAGCACAGGGCCGTGCCGCACGGTACCGGGAAACGGGCAGGCCGCGGCGTTCAGAGACCACCGGATGCCACGGGGGCAGCCGAGAAGGTACAAAGGTCGTACAGGGGCAAAATATCAGGTACATGAACGCATACGAGGGGACAGGGGCACATGAGTGTGTGCAGGGACATAGAGACGGTGCAGCGACACATGACACGGTATGGGGGGGGGGGGGGTACGTGATCAAAGTCAGCCCGTCAAGGTCAGTTCATCGCGTACAGAGGTGCAAGCAGTGGTACAGGGACACACCAACAGGAGAGAGAAAGGGACAACAGACGGTAAAATGAACTGACATAGGTCACAGGAGTTCAGACCATAAACGGCACAGGGGCCCAGCAAGCGATGTCGTACAGGAACAAGGCTGGACGATAAAGATAATAGGCCAGTAAATCGGTCGGCGGGAGGGTTTACCGTCTACGCATGGCTGGGCAACCCCATAAGAACGGAGCGCATGCAGTGGAATGCCACGTCCTGGACCAACCGCAGTGCAAACGCGACGCGCAAGGAGGAACGGGTGCGGCCGGGCACGCATATCGATTGCAAAAACACGTGTAACTAGGTCTGAGTCGGGGCATACGTGAATGAAAAATATAACAGACACCATACTTTAATCACCGTTCAATGTTCTAACATTGTCTCTGTTTACTGCTACGTACGACGACAGCCAGGTAATTCCGTATCATGAAAATGCTTCAAGCTTGTGCTGTTTTGCGGCAATGGCAGTCGGCTGTTACATGAAGCGCGGCTGTCGCATGTGTAGCAGACGTTGTGCGATACGGCAGTGTTAATAAGAAAGCAAGCGTTCACCACCGGCTGACTCTGACCAATGCTAGCAGTGTTCTACAAGCAAATTTCCCAATTGTCCAAAACGGCGAAGGTTGTTGACAAAGAAAGGCATTCGCATTTTGCGAAAAAAACACGGTAACTACTTCCAGCCACGTTTATGTCAAGGAAATAACCAAGCCAACATGAGTCCATGTGAAGTTTAATTAATTCAAGAATAAACTTCTGAGGAAATGCTTTTAATGTGAATCCTAGGAGCAAAATAGTCGTGATGCAGACGAAATGTGTCCCGAAGCGACCAGATGAGTTTTATCCTCGATCCCCCATCCACCAACGGAAATCCTTCCACAAGTATGGCCGATTTCGTCCAACAGTCGTACAACCGGACAACCAGCTCGCCAACAAAAACAGCCAGGTAGCCCAACACCAAGCCAGCTGCAGCCAGAATAACGCGCCGACTACGCCACACCCAGCCAACCAGACCAGCGCCAACGTTCTCAAAAGCCGATCCTGCCAATGCCCGGTTGTGAGTGTACAGCCCGGAGACGGCCCTCGGGCCCGCCTGTCCCCGCCGACCCTGCCAATGCCCCAGTGAGTGTACAGTCCGGAGACGGCCCTCGGGCCCGCCCCCCCTGTCCCCATGCGCGGGTGCATCACGTACCGATCTGTCACCGCGCCAGTACGACCTGAAACAGCAGCCGGACGACGCGTCTGAGAGGCATGCACGCGTCCGCCCGGCCCGCCGAGACAGGGGAGAAATCAGCGGCCAGCCGGAGAGGACCAGTGCCGAGACAGGGGGAGACATCAGCGGCCAGCCGGAGAGGGCCGGCCCGCCGAGACAGGGGGAGACATCAGCGGCCAGCCGGAGAGGACCGGCCCGCCGAGACAGGGGGAGACATCAGCGGCCAGCCGGAGAGGGCCGGCCCGCCGAGACAGGGGGAGACATCAGCGGCCAGCCGGAGAGGACCGGCCCGCCGAGACAGGGGGAGACATCAGCGGCCAGCCGGAGAGGGCCGGCCCCACCGAGACAGGGGGAGACATCAGCGGCCAGCCGGAGAGGACCGGCCCGCCGAGACAGGGGGAGACATCAGCGGCCAGCCGGAGAGGACCGGTGCCGAGACAGGGGGAGACATCAGCGGCCAGCCGGAGAGGACCGGCCCGCCGAGACAGGGGGAGACATCAGCGGCCAGCCGGAGAGGATCGGTGCCGGGAATATGGGAGATAGGGGAGACGGGGGAGATAGGAACGGCCAGTTGGAGAGAGCCGGCGCCGATAAAGGGGGGGGGGGGGGGGCAAGGGAAACAGGGGTGAAAGGGGGAGACAGAGAGGACAGGGGGTGACAGGGGAGACAAGAGGAGACCCGGGGAGACACGGCGAGACAATGTGAGATCGAGGGAGACAGGAGGAGACTGAGGGAGACAGGCGCGGCCAGTCGGAGGCCGGGCGCGTCGAGCGGCGCTGGGCATGCGAGAAGACGGCGAGAGCGACGAGGCGGCGTGGCGGAGGCGTGGGGCGGCGTGACAGAGGCGCGGGCCGGCGGTGCCGCTGGCGGTGACCATGCCCTGGGGACGGACACCGTTGCTGTGCTGAACCACAAGGCCACGGCATCAGTCAGCTGAATAGGGAAATATGTCTTCTTACCGGTTTGGAAATCGGCTCTAGTGTATGGGACCCGATTTCCTGTCATCATAAATAAATCCAACAGCTGAAAAACTTGCAATGTAGAGCTTACAGGGAATGCTACACATTTCAAGGCATTGAAGCAAGCATCAGATACAAAATAAGCTCACTTATGACTAGTGGTTACCTTTAAGCGGCAAAGACTGCTCTTGATAACGTGAGTTCTCCATTTACTAAATATGATCCTCAAAACGTCATTGTTTCGATTACGTCGCCGTACCGTGTACAAAGGAAGTGGGGAAATGGAATATTCCACATTTAAATATAATGATACAACCATCAGATGTGATCAAATGAGCTCAGTTACAAATGTTGGTATATTTCTAAGTTGAAAAGCCTGCTTTAGACAACACCATTTCTCTTCTTGGCAAAAATGCTCCTCTAGACGTCACCAATTGATCGCATCATCATGCCTTGCACAACATTAATTGAAAGTCAACTGACGGCCGGTATGTCTCGAAATCGCGCTCACGAACGCCAGATATGAACGACGGGATAATCCAATTTTCGTTTGGCCTTGATTTCACGATGATTTGAATGACACGGTTATAGCGTCATGGATGCCTGGGTGCCCATAAAATAATCTCCCGGAATAGCCTGCCCATCTTCGCGGGCGTGTAGCTCAGAAACTAGGAGGGTTTATATCTTTAAAAGGGCAGGACTAAGAACTGCACCGCATGATCTTCAAAATAGCTATTTCAAATCAAAACCCTATACAAATGTAGAACATTCCCTCTAAGTTTTCTCAATATTGCTTAAATATCAACGCAGCTGCTTTACACCGGTGCCTGCAGAAGAAGCACCGATAGCGCAACCAACAGTTACGGATGCGTGTTTTCCTCACGCCCTTGTTTTCACAAGGTCATCAAGTTGACACTAGTATGCGGCAGGCGGCACGACCATGCGCGCGGCCTGGGCCCCGGGGCGAGGGCGAGGGCGAGGTATCCCCCTCCGGTGTCGCGGCGCCGCGTCCCCAGTGAGGCGACAGCGTGAGCCGCCGAGCCGAGACGGCCACAAGCCGGGCTAGCGCGCCCGCAGGCCCGCACCCGTGCACGCGTCGTTCACCGCACGCACCCGGCACGCACACACACACACACGCGCGCGCGCGGCGGGCGGGCGCGTGCCCGCCGGCAGCGGCGGCTCACCCCGGCCGACCGCGGCGGCAGCGGCGGCGGCGGCGGCGGCGCGCCCGGGCTACGGCACCACACCGGCACACACGAGCGCCAGCAGCACGCGCAGGGACCTGGCGGCCGAGGGCAGACGCGCCCGGCCGGCCGGCCGGTCAGACATCGGGAACGGCAGGGAAGCGGCCAACGCTCGGCGGCCGGCCGTGCGGCCCTTTCTCGCTCGGGGAGTGGACCCTAACCGATGGCGTGGTTAAAGGTGACCATTAGTCTTGTTGAGATAAGCAAGCGGGCTTCGAACAAAGCCAGGCATGCACCGCGTGTTACAGAACACAATTCCGATGCAGGCGCAGAACATAATTGTCTCACAGAACCAAATGAAACTGCAAACGCCGAAATTCAAACGAAAGATGCTAACTCGGTACAAACGCAACGGCACCAAATCCTACAGTGGACATTCTCCTTCAGACTTCTAATCCAATCAAGTGAGCCCAGTCAACGTGATCCAGCTCGCAGGCCACATATCAAACACACACACACGCACCCACACCCACACGCACGCACGCACGCACGCACGCACGCACGCACGCACGCACGCACGCACGCACACACACACACACACACACACACACACACACACACACACACACACACACACACACACACACACACACACACACACACACACGCGCACACACACACACACACACACACACACACACACACACACACACACACACACACACACACACACACACACACACACACACACACACCACACACACACACACCAACACCGGCGCGTCGATGGGCGCCAACTGGTCAGCACACCTGCGCTGATCACGACGAAGACGTACGAGGCAGCTCGCTGCTGCCTCTTCTCTACGCCGACAGAGCGCAGCCCATCCACTCACCGCGTGCGGAACTTATCCTGGCCGCCACAGTACTCATTGATGACGAGCTTGACCAGGAACAGGTGGAAAACGCCGATCAGCAGGAAGATGGACACCCAGAAGAAGGTGGGCAGGCCGCCCAGCGCATGGCCGTGCCGATGCAGCGCCATCAGGTGGTGGTCGTGCGCCGGCGCTGCCGGGCCGCACACACTGCTGTCACGGACGTCTCCCGGGGGCGGGGGACGGGGAGCGAATACGGCAGCGTCTCCCGGAGGCGGGGGACGGGGAGCGAATACGGCAGCGTCTCCCGGGGGCGAGGGACGGGGAGCGAATACGACAGCGTCTCCCGGGGGCGGGGGACGGGGAGCGAATACGGCAGCGTCTCCCGGGGGCGGGGGACGGGGAGTGAATACGGCAGCGTCTCCCGGGGGCGGGGGACGGGGAGCGGATACGGCAGCGTCTCCCGGGGGCGGGGGACGGGGAGTGAGCACAGCTGTCTCCCGGGGGCGGGGGACGGGGAGCGAATACGACAGCGTCTCCCGGGGGCGGGGGACGGGGGAGTGATACGGCAGCGTCTCCCGGGGGCGGGGGACTGGGAGCGGATACGGCAGCGTCCTCCCGGGGGGCGGGGGACGGGGGAGCGAATACGGCAGCGTCTCCCGGGGGCGGGGGACGGGGAGCGAATACGACAGCGTCTCCCGGGGGCGGGGGACGGGGAGCGAATACGGCAGCGTCTCCCGGGGGCGAGGGACGGGGAGCGGATACGGCAGCGTCTCCCGGGGGCGGGGGACGGGGAGTGAGCACAGCTGTCTCCCGGGGGCGGGGGACGGGGAGCGAATACGACAGCGTCTCCCGGGGGCGGGGGACGGGGAGCGAATACGGCAGCGTCTCCCGGGGGCGGGGGACGGGGAGCGAATACGACAGCGTCTCCCGGGGGCGGGGGACGGGGAGTGAGCACAGCTGTCTCCCGGGGGCGGGGGACGGGGAGCGAACACGGCAGTGCCTCTCGGAAAGTCGTGAGCACGCTGGCGCTGGTCGGGTCAGCTGAACCACGAGAGGCACCGGACTCCGGCCATCATGGCTGTTTTGTGCGGCTGCTTCACCATTTCCACTGTCGACCTGGCCTAAGCTAGCACGCTCTGACTTGACGAAGGCTCACGGGCCGCACAATTGGATGCGACGAACCCATCTCTAAAGGCACACGGACCGGCGCGTAACCCATCGGTCGCCTAAGCAACGCCTCACCAAGTAATCACCCTGAAAACATAACTCCCACATCAACACGAGGCAGGGGCGCTGGCGCCCTCAGACCGCCGCCAGCGCCCATCGGCCAACGGGGGACCGACGCTGGCGCCCTCAGGCCGCCGCCAGCGCCCACCGGCCAGCGGGAGACAGATGCTGGCGCCCTCAGACCGCCGCCAGCGCCCATCGGCCAACGGGAGACCGACGCTGGCGCCCTCAGGCCGCCGCCAGCGCCCACCGGCCAGCGGGAGACAGATGCTGGCGCCCTCAGACCGTCGCCAGCGCCCAGCGGCCAACGGGAGACCGGCGCTGGCGCCCTCAGACCGCCGCCAGCGCCCACCGACCAGCGGGAGACAGGTGCTGGAGCCCACTCACCGACGTTGACCTCCTTGACGTGGATGGTATGCTTGAGCTCCTCCAGGTGCTGCCAGTCGGAGGTGATGTACAGCACCGGCGTGGGCGGGTCGGTCAGCTTTACCGGGAACCGAGTGGGCTCCGACCTGTCGCCGCACACAGCACGCCACCGTCACCACAGCTACACGCACCACCAGGCCGAGTGAAGCTGACAATTCTGCAGCCGGGTCCATACAAACGCACGTGCGGGGCGAAATAATACGACTTTTAGACAGTGAGCGGGTATTTAAAGGCCAGCGCGGTTTGAAAGGCCCAGCTAGTCGCTCATTCCACCAGAGCGTGCCTAATCAGCGTGACAACTAAGGTCCTGAGAACACTTTGGCCCTGGCTGTGCCCGACTTCCTACTCCTAACTCCGACCCATCCCGCCTGTTCAGCCACCATATGCCCCCCACCCCTTCCCCTCCCAGCCGAGCCCGTACCCGAGCCGGACGGGCACGTCCAGACAGCCGGCGTCGCAGCCGAAGTAGGACTTGTCGCTGCGGTCCAGCGTCACGTCTATGTGTGCCTTGTTGTCGTCGTCCACCGACACGCGCAGCGTCACGTGCGTGCCGTTACCAAAGTTGAGCCGCCTGCCGGAGCGTGCGGGGAAGGCTAACGAAGGGTTACGTGGGAGAGGGGGGGGGGGGGAGACTGGTGGCCGGAGCTGGAAGAGCCATAGGCGGCCCGAGCGCCCACAGGGCGGCCGAAGCCCACTGGGACCCATTGGGACCCGGCGCTGGAGATGGCGCCGGACACGCGGGGCCTGCTGATGCCTGCGCACGTAGCGCAGAGGAGCCGACACCAACGCTACAGCAGGGCCGCGACAAAACGCCGGCGGCGGCGGCCCGCCTCTGCGCGGCTCCGGCGCGTGTCGGCCGCGACAGAACGCCGGCGGCGGCGGCCCGCCTCTGCGCGGCTCCGGCGCGTGTCGGCCGCGACAGAAGCGCACCGGCGGCAGCGGCCTGCTTCCGCGCGGCTCCGGCGCGTGTCGGGCCGCGACGCCGCAGGCCGCCCGCTCACCGGAACACGTAGTCGCGGTGCAGGTCCTTGGGCTCCATGCCGAACTCCAGGTGCTGGTTAGAGAACTTGAGCGCACCCATGCTGAGGATCATAGCCTGCATCACACCGTCCGCGCCCGCGCCCAGCATGTTGTGGCAGCCCTGCGCACGCGCGGCATGAGTCACATGGCGCACGGTTTCTACGTACGGCTTGATCTACCCGCATTACTGGATTCAATGGCGCAGGAATTCTTCATTGAATGTAAAAATTGCATTACATTTGAACTACTCCACCCTCGTGCCATACGCGGTGCAATGCACCTTAGCTATAGCACTCCCACATCGCTTAATATGACATTGCAATTATGACGACAAAATCATAGTTGTTAGTGTTGGAACTGCCTGTCATTACGTAATATAAGGCATCCGTTACATGCGAGCCGCATTTTAACATTTTACTGTTCATGGCATGTTTGTAAATGAGCAAGGACGGTCTCAAAACGCTACTTCTCACACTTTTCCACGTCAAAATAGGCCCGGTTAAAGATGTGAAGAACCCATTGTTGCCACTGCCGCCTGCAGTCGTCAGAACACCCAGGAGAATCAAACACATGAGAAACATGTCTTACGCGGCCTCATCGCAACAAGACATCCCTCGTTGTCACAAGCCACAGTGTACAGCCTTCCGTGTCCCAACAACAACCGATCATCCCGGCCTCCCCCCCCCCCCCCCCTCCCCTCCCTACGCCGACGTGTCCGGGCCAGTGCTCCTGCCCGCGGCACTTCCCTTCCGACCTGCCCGTGGCGCTCCCCTCCGACCCGCCCGCGGCGCTCCCCTCCGACCCGCCCGCGGCGTTCCCCTCCGACCCCCCCGCGGCGTTCCCCTCCGACCCGCCCGCGGCGCTCCCCTCCGACCCCCCCGCGGCGTTCCCCTCCGACCCCCCCGCGGCGTTCCCCTCCGACCCGCCCGCGGTGCTCCCTTCCGACCCGCCCGCGGCGCTCCCCTCCAACCCGCCCGCAGCGCTCCACTCCGACCCGCCCGCGGCGCTCCACTCCGTCACCTTCTTCTCCAGCAGCATGAGCCAGAGGTTGGCCGTTTCGAGCACGTCCGTGACGGAGCGCAGCGGCGACCAGAGCCGGTGCGCTTGCAGCGTGTGCAGCTTGTCGCCATAGCAGCCCTCCGTGTACTGCAGGTGCGCCCGGTGCTCCGGCAGGCGGGACAGGTCCGTCGTCTGAGGGCGGCGGCACAGGGGCGCGACGCTGGATGGTGCGCAAGGACCGGTGACGGGACACCACAAAAAAGCAGGCCGGGTGCGAGGTGCAGAGGCGTCGCGCCACAGGACGCTTGTCTCGAAGATGCGGGCATTGCGATAGAATATCCATCACTTAACAGAACTGAAGCTGTGTCGCAAAATGTTTTTTAATCGCGAGCGAGGTAGGGAGCTGGATGACTTGTACGAAACCAAATGGAGACCTGAAGTCTCAGTGCTCGATGATACTCGATACGTTTATTACTCAAGACACCTTACGACTGGTTTACGACGCTCGCATAGTGCTCTAGTGCTTAGTTCCACGACAGGGAATCAGACTGCAGCAAAGAAAGACAAAAATCTGGCACTAATACGGCACACAAATTCCGCAAGGAAGACACAAGCACTTAAGTACCGTAACCCGATGCCCCCCCCCCTCCCACCTTACACCCCTGCGCAGATCCTGATCAAAGGGGACCTCTGAAAGCCGACCCTCACCTTCTCGTGCAGCGGCGCCCGAGCCTGACTCATGACGTAGTAGAGTGTAGCGTTGATGACGTCGCCGTTGATGACATCATCGGCCAGTGAGTGCGAGATGGCAAAGCCGGAAGTCCAGAGGCGCCGCCAGACCTCTACATGGGAGCTAAGCAGGCGGCTCGGATCCTCAGAGACACCCTCCGTGTACACCTGACGCACGGAGAGTGGCTGGGGTCAGTGACGGGTCACTGACGGCCATCCTGACCGCGATGCCAAGTGGGCGGAAGGGCAGACATGAACGCGCCTAGTTGTCATTACTGACATATGCTACGCGCGTGAAGTGCGTCACCAACAACACAACGACCGCCACAGCAGTCGAGCGTCAGGCGCCCACTTGCCGACCTTGCTGACGCCCAACATCCAATGACCGCCGGCGTCTGACGCCCGGCCGCTCCGCCGACACCAGCGGCGGCTGCGCCCACTGACCGCCACGGTGGCCTGCTCCAGCCGCAGCTCGGTCAGTTGGCGTCGGGCGGCCTCGTCCGATGTCTGCGGCTCGGTGTAGTTGACGGCAGTCAGACAACGCACTGTCACCAGGCTGGACCCCTTCACCTGGCGGAGGAGCGGCCGGGGCGGCGTCACAAGCGCGGGCGGCGTGGGACGGGATGGCCGCCGGCACCCGCCTCCTCTCAGGCTGGCGAGAGCAATATTTCCCGCGAGGGGGGCGCACCACCGACATGGCTACCGCCATGCCGTTGGTGAGCCGTTACGCCGCATCACGGCGTAAACCAGGCCAGTGAACGCGTGGGATGAAACGCAGGACCTGATCAGCAGTCCAGCACGGCGACACACAGCTCCTCAACAATGTCCCGGCTGTGCTGACCGACCACACGCCCGTCCGGCGGCCCACAGACGGGGGCCAGCGGCCGCCGCCGGGCGTTACACACCGTCACGCTGCCTTCCATCGTCGACGAGACGACGACGACGCCGCGGTGCTTCTGGTCGGCCGTGCGTACCACACCCGTCACCACCACGTACGGGTGGCTGTCCTGGCCGTGCACCACACTGAAGGAGGGGGGGGGGGGGGGGGGGGAAGCGAGCGTCAAAAGCGCCACGTCCTGGCCACGTGACCCGGCGCCGACAGCTGACGGAGCCGGCAGTTGGACCGTCTCGTTATTTTCTATTTGCTTTGCCTGCGGCTCAACAAGACAGTGCAGTTACCATGACCGACAATATTTTACAGCTGGCACGCGAGCCAGTTGGGAAATAGTATACTGCCAGTGCAGAAGAGAAAGACGCGTCGGCTCCGGCACCGATGTGGCCTGACCTGCCTCGTGACAGCCATCTTCACCTGCTGTTGTTCCTTCTCTCCTGTTCCGAAGACTCGCTCCGTGTCGCCCGCGTCCGAGCCTCAGTCGCCCTGTCCTACCTGCCCCGGTGCTGACCAGACCCCTGACCAGACCCCTGTGTCCCGCGTGACCCCGGTGCCTCTCCGCGCGCGCCTCGCCGCCTCACCTGTCGCGGCGGACGGCGGCGCCGCTCCACTGGGAGACGCCGCGCTGGCGCAGCTCCAGCATCTGGTCAAGCTCGGTTGGGTTCCGCACTTTGATCTCCTGCACCAGCAGACCCGGTAGCGTCCGATGCGCGAAGTACTGCCGGCCGGCGGACAGACGGACGGCGGGTCAGGCAGCAGCGGGGATCACACGGCTGAAAGGGGATCACACGGCAGGCGGGGGATCACACGGCTGGCGGGGATCACACAGCTGGCAGGGGATCACACGGCTGGCGGGGGATCGTACGGCAGGCGGAGGATCACACAGTTGGCAGTGGATCACACGGCTGGCGGGGATCGTACGGCAGGCGGGGGATCACACAGTTGACAGTGGATCACACGGCCGGCGGGGGATCGCACGCCAAGGCAGGGGATCACACGGCAGGCGGCAGATTACACGGCTGGCAGGGGATCACGCGGCTGGCGGGGGATCACACAACTGGGAGGGAATCACACGGCCTGCGGGGGATCACATAGCTGGCAGGGGATCACACGGCCAGGCAGGGGATCACACAGCAGGCGGGGGATCCCACGGCCGGCGGAAGATGACACAGCTGGCAGGGGATAACACGGCCGGCGGGGGATCGCACGGCAAGGCGGGGATCACACGGCCGGCGGACGGACGGCCGGCGAGTCAGGCCGCAGCGGGGACCACACGGCCAGCGGTGGATCACACGGCAGGCGGGGGATCACACAGCTGGCGGGGGATCACACGGCCGGCGGACGGACGGTCGGCGAGTCAGGCCGCAGCGGGGACCACACGGCCAGCGGTGGATCACACGGCAGGCGGGGGATCACACAGCTGGCGGGGGATCACACGGCCGACGGACGGACGGCCGGCAGGCCAGGCCGCGAAGTTTTGTTTTTCTTTGACAATCTGAGATCTATCCCAAAATCTGTAATTCAGCATACGACGACGCACAATCTCACTTGAAAAATCACCAAAAACGGCGACATGCAAGGCATTACGCGACATGCGTGACAAGTAGGGAACGCCGGAGGAGCCTCTGAAGAGTGCACCTACTCGTATATAGCCACACCACCACAACCCGCTCCAGGCTGCGCTCGTCACTACCGTGGGTAACCCCTCCCCCCCCCCCCTCTGTGGACGATTGTCCAGCTCCTAACCCAGCCGCGTACCTTGTATGTGACGTCCAGGGAGCGGTCACCCATCGGATAACACTGCAGCCGCTGCACCACGCCGTCCACGTACTGCACCACCACGACCTCTTGCGGCGATTCAGTGGCGCCATCTAGCACGGCGCTCACCACTGGCATGAACGGCACGCTGGCGTTCAGCGTCCGCTGGTCACGCGCGTACACGGGCGAGTCCTCGCTCGCTGCCAGCGCCACGTGGCCGTTGCCCACGTACGGCACGTGCTGGTGGTCGCCGGGCCGCGGCGGCACGTGTGACAGCACCGAGTCGAGCCGGGCTAGCTCGGCATCGAAAGCGTACAGCCGCTCACGGATACACTGCCGAGGTCCGTCGGCGGCTGCGGCGGGACGACGCCTGGTCAGCCGGTGTCCCCCGATGGAGCAGTCATTCCAAACCGCCACACGAGACACTAGTCCCATTGCGGGCACGGGCCGTGCCTTAAGTGTAGTGCACCACAATCAATTTGAAAGAATGGAATACTGCCGAGCACTCAAGTAAAGCGCCGAACAACAGGTTGAAAACACACATCTTGCGAGCAGAGAACATCTCGACCGCTGATACTGTTCAACATCACAAACCCCCAACAGCTGCGAAAAATCCACACGGACATCAGTACAGCCAACAGCGCAGCCAGGCAGGCCGGGCCGGGCCCAGGCCGGGCACTTACAGTGCACGTTGGGCAGCGGGAGCGGCCGCGGCCGGGATGAGCCGAGCAGCCAGCGCAGCATACCAGGACCCACATACAGGACGAACGCCGAGGCCACGATCACCAGAAACAGAGCCCGCCGGGACCTGCAGAGCACCGGCGGCCAGGAGAGCCCAGCACAGCGAGTCCCTGTCCCCAGTGGGAAGAGGCCTTTCCCGATTCGTACTCAGCGCAGTAAATTAAAAGCGGCACGCGTGAATACTAGGCACAGCTGTGCCCATCACGAGCAGCCAGGTGTGGGCGCCGTTCATGTGAACACGGATCGATACTCGCCATTACACGTAAGCTCGAACCGAAAGAACACGTGGTCGCCTGTAACACCTGCTGCCGTCGCGACCCGTGAGCGGTTTTGGGGGTCACGTGGCATGCATCATTGAAGCGCCGTCAGGTTTTCACAGATATCACGGCCTAACAATGTATGGATGTTAAGTACCGCGCGCACATCCAGGGTGTCTGTTTGCGTTGGCCACGCCCCAGGGCTGCATTCTTTGAAGTCAAACAGTCCCCATCATCAAACGATACCGACGTCGTTTGCTCGCGCTATCTGGCGCAGCACCTAAGTTTGTGTACGCAGGTCGACGTGAGCTGACCTTGCAATGCTGACAGCATGGCAGCCAGTGTGCATCGCATCAATCACACGCCGATGTGGAAGGCGGCGGGAGGCACGTGGTGGCTCGTGACCATGTATCCAGCACAACTTACGAGATGTTGCCCTCCACGAGGCGCCGGCCAGCCTTGATGATGTCCTCAATCGCCATGATGATGCTGCAAAACACCGACATGCCCGGTCACTGACCTGGCCACCTACTGGCAAAGTTAGCACAGCGGGGCAGAGGAGCGATACACGCGTGTCATAAGATCTGCAGCACCCGGCACTGGCTACACCACACGCACCGTCAGAACAGCGGGGTAGAGGAACGACACACGCATGTCATAAGATCTGCAGCACCCAGCACTGACTACACCACACGCACCGTCCAAATAGCGGGACAGAGGAGCAATACACGCATGCCATATGATCTGCAGCACCCAGCACTGGCTTCACCACACGCACCGTCAGAACAGCGAGGCAGAGCAGCGATACACGCGCGTCATAAGATCTGCAGCACCCAGCACTGGCTTCACGGCAAGGTGAGAAATGTTCTATGGCTTTCTGGCTGTGCATGCGTTTTTTATTTCATGAGTGCCATGAGTGCTAACGTGTTGATGAGCAGTACTCATGAGTACCACATGAGTGCGAAACTATCCGAGGCGTAGCGGGGGGGGGGGGGGGGGGGGGGGGAGTGAAGACGTGTTGGTTTTCTGAAAAATCTGCGACGTTCCTCCACCAATATGCATACAGCAGTATTTGCGGATAACCGATTTAATGTGTTGCCACATGCGGTGTCATTAGGCAGCATACTTTCTTTAGGACCAGACGTCATTACAACCAAATCGAATAATCTCAATGACGGAATGCTTCCCTTCGAAATTGAAAACATTAGTATTCAGGCCCTTCCATGATACTTTGTGCAAAGTTTAAGACGCGCCTAACATAACGGCGGATGCTTCACAACAGTACACCAAGCTACCGCCTTAACCAGCCTTGCGTGGCGGCAGCATCGTCAGTTGAAACAACCCTGCCATCTCTTACTTTCTCCCTGAACGTGGCCGGGACTTGATGCCCCTGAGATGAGACATCAAAAGCGATGGCAGCCACGAAGATAAAATTTCCATGATAATCATATTTTTGTCACGCGAAACAAACTTCAGAATGCTTTAAACGCATAAGTAATACACATAAGCGCATTAAGATGCTCATCAAGGTTCGCAAGATCTCGACATGATTACAGACCCATCCCGTCTCCCCGAGGACCACTACCGAACAACTCATCATTTCCACTCAGCCAACCGCTTGTGCATACCCTGACACCCTGTTTCGACACAGCAGAACACAATGCGTCATGCATTCGGCTTCTAATGTTCCCCTCGTTAAAACAAGGCGTCAGCGAAATTGACAAAAGTGGCGCGGCAGACCAGCATAATTTGGTGATTTGTAGTTTCGTTGTAAATATATATATATATATATATATATATATATATATATATATGTGTGTGTGTGTGTACGCGTGCTTTAAACTTCGACAAACGAGACCAAAATATTGTGGCGTGTCAATTTGTTCAACAATTCACGAATTTTGCAATGCATCGCGCGCAGGCAATCTCGTGAGTAACGTCCCGAATTGAGAGAAGGATCGTTACTTTCGTACCGGGTGTCCCACAAAACGTGCGACATTGGTTTTATCAATCAGAATTTTAAATAAACACGACTGCCTAGAGCAGGGTGTATGTAAATATATTGATATACGAGCGTGGAACTATCACTAAAGCTTTACACCTGCGAGGGCAAGCACTCCATGCGCTCTAATTTCCGTTGAACACGCATGACTGCACATGGCCGCGTGAACATGTATGTCCAACGACATCCCGCACAAGAAAGACTGATCGCTCACTTCAGGGGACCCGGATATGATGTACCCACACATAGGCATCATATCTACGCCCCAGATGTGGAACACACTCGATGTCAGACATGGTATATAGCAAATGTCTGGCTTAGAAGGCGAATCCGAAGTCAAGACAATGACATCAAGCTCAAGTAAAAACCGAAACCAGTGGCTTCAAAGTTTGAAGCCACTGGTTTCGGTTGAACTGGTTGAAGCCACACAACGAAACCGAAACCAAAGTCAGTGCCGCCCAACATGGGACACGCGGGGTAACGCCGAACGCACTGTCTTCAAATTCCGAAGTCAAAGCGGAAGATGGGCCTTGTGCACCATAGGGCTTCGCGAGACGAAAAACATGTTAAGTCTGCTAAAACCGCATAGGATCAGAGACGTGATCAGGGTTTGGTGGAGCAGCTGAGGGTCATACCATAACGAATCGAGTATTTTTTCGAGCTATCGACTTCGTCTTATGTGTTAGTGTTTGTCCATGATGTAAGAAAGCAAGATCTTCAGTACCTGGTTCTTTCCGCATCGTGATCTCAGAGTTCTTAGCTGAGTTCTCGACCTTCGATATACAGGGATGTGCTGGTTAAGCGGCGTTATAGTGCAAACATTGATATATTGGTGGAACTGGACGTTGCAAGTCAGGCGTATGATCATAACCCAAGCTTCATACGTTGATTACTGTTAACATAACGAACGCTCGCGCTGTGACGTCGTTTAGCCAGTCTTTCCCGCCATATTGAAGGTCGTCTTCCCCGCAGCGGAGCTCTGAGCCGATAATATCAGTATTTGTACAATGTCTCAGACAGCTATTCCTTCAGCCATTGTCCGGTGCTGATTGGTCACGGCACGACGGGCTGGTGTTGGGCCTTTTGCCATGTATACGCCGCAGCGTCCAACAATAGCAATGAAAAGTCCGAGTTACGGCACGGAAAAAATGTCTTTATACAGTCAAGTCATAAGTGCAGTGAAGCAATTACTATGATGAAGGCAAAGTTGAAGATTACATGAAGTCCCAACTTGAGCTAAGATTTGAAACACTTTAAAGCTGAAGCAGCCCTCAAAACGGCACAACACCGAGGCAGAACCTAACGGTAAAAATGGCGCGGGAACCGTAGTCAAACGCGAAGCCATTGGAGAAAAACCCCAGCTTCGCGAAAGCGAAGCTGATCCGCGAGGCCGGGTTCGTTGTCATGCCTGCCAGCACCATGCTCCCTGTCTGATGTCAGTGCCAAAGCTGATGCAAGTCTCTATGAGCTGGCTACTGACAAAACCCCATCCAGGATGGAACATATTACAATCAGCTGACACCTGTGATGTCTTGTGTATCCACTCCAAACCCAAGTCATAATGTCATTGCACAACCATTTGGCCATAATGTCTGAATATCTGCAAACCAGATTATTTGCAGCAGCCCTTGTTCATACAAGGGCTTCTCTTCCAGACAAGATCCTCCAAGATCCTCAGATTATTTGCAGCAACCTTTGTCCATACAAGGGCTTATCCTCAAGTTCCAGACAAGTTCTAGATATTTAAATGCAGAGCACATCCTTGGAGACAACAGGAACTCTTGTGTTTGAACAAATGAACAAAATGGAACAAAATTAACAAAAAAAAAGACAAAAAGAGCAATTGATTCCCATAGAACCTCAGTGTTTTTAGTCTGGGAAAGCCCTGCATAACTATGCCAGAGATGTAGACCACAGGTAGTGCATACCATGGGTACCCTGTAGTGACTGCCATCCATGACAGGATGGGAGGTGAACAATGCCATGCAGCCTCAGCAGCTGAGAGTATTACAAAGCCTCAATGGTAAGTGCATGCATCTACAAGTATATAAGCAACCTCAAAATGCAGGCATAGGGAAAAGTCTATCTATAAATGTTGTGGCAAGCAACACACAAAGGACAGTATAAAAGTATGTATATGATGCTTGTAAGGCATGTTAGATCAGAAGATTTAAGAAAATGATAACACACCTCTATTCTAGATGATTTTCAAGTTCCCTGGCTTTGCTTATATCTTGCCCAAAATGAATTACAGTTTACAGCTAACTTCTACAATTAATCACAGCATTCATGCTCCTGAAAGTAACAAAATGAAGGTTTGTACAGACTCAGCACATTAGAAAGAGCTAACTTTATGACCTACCAATCAAAGCACACCCAATTGGGGACAAGGTGGCATTGTCTTGGTGCACTCAAGCTGGCCTGCTTCCTGAAAAAATTACTCACCACTTAAGCAGCAGAGCTTTGGCTTTGTTAATTAGATGTAGGGAAATAGTTTTTATCCAACTTGATACCCCTCCTCAAAGCACAAACATACAACATTGAGATGAAAGTGTGCCAAATCTGTAGAAAACTTGTTTTTGCATGTCAACTTATGATGATCTGTCCAACTTTCCAACATTACATTTAAATAGAACTCCTATTTCCTTTGTTCTCCAATATAATGCCTGGAGCATTGTCCTCATGCTGGGACAAGTTTTGGTCATTGAAATTCCTTGAATCTGTCATCAAGACCAAAGGACAATATGGCTTTTTGCAAAGGAGTCACTTATCAAAGTACTTATGCACTATGATGCACATGCATATACTCCCATCCTGATAATTATTGGTTATAGCCATTGGAATGTTATAATCTGATGACTAAGCCTAGTACCACATAGACCATGTATATATGCATAGACCACATAGACCATGCATTATATATATTATGATTTTTATTAATATTGCCAAAATTATTTCCACAATTAAGATAGTAGATACCTCTGACACCTTATGGGGAGATGGAAGACCCTTAACAGGTGCATTATTTTATATAGTTATCATGCCTTTGGTAATCTTTCACAATGTCATCCCACCTCTTTATAAATTATTTCCATACTCTTTGGCACAAGTAGTGGCGAGGAATAGAAACACAAAAGGTCAGTTAACAAGTTAAAAGCCCAGCACAAGCATCATGGCCACACCTCAATGAGAACTTGTGATGCGTTCATTGGTGGTCATTGCGGGAGGCAGACAGCTCTGGAACCAGTAAGATGAAAAACACTTGTAGCAATGCAAGGTATTTTGTTATGCAAGACCATGGTTTCGTCCGTGAATCTCCGAACCGATTAATGATGAAATTGCGTTGCGACAAATGCCTGCTTGAGGTGTCGGCCAAAATGTGGACTGCTCAACTCCAATTTCCAGCTAAATACCATAGAATTATCCGCACTGATGACAATACATTCATGAATTTGTGGTCCAAACCGCCAGGGTTTTGTTAAAAAGTCGTTTCCACAGCGCACGTGCAGCTCGTCACGAACCTACGTAACACAAGCGCGCTTCAATTTGGTCTGAGCACGTCCACCGAGCGACGATTACTCTGCTGTACACATTTCAGCGCAGATAAGACAGCGTGGCGCGATTTTTCATTTACGGGCGCTGATGCCCTCGTGACCCGAGGTGTAGTGGCCAACCCGTGGGTCGCGGGGGGTGTGTAACGCGGAGGGCATGCAATAATGGTAGCGCGGGGCCGGACTTTTCTATTGTAATGCGTTACTATGTTGCTGGTCTGATTTTTAATATGTTGTGAGTCTCGAAGTGGCTTGTGCTTTCATGAAACATGCTGTGCCTGTAGAGCAGTTGAATGCATAGGTATAGATTATATAGTTATACAGTTAATTTATTCAGGAGTTGGAATTTTCGGTGTAGGTGTACTTTCCTACCTAACGTTAGAAAAAATTATTGCACACCATTCGTCGTGTTCAAGGCGGCACATATCGTAAATCATCTCAAAACAGGTAGAATCATGCTCCTACCTTCGAATTTCAATAACTTCGATGGCGAGCTCCCGAGCGCCGCGCGCACCGCACCGCCTGGACTCCCCAGCGCCGTTTCTGCGTTGCCGTTGCGTAAATACAATATTTCTGCTTACCAAGAACTTTACAAAATGTACGGGACCAGGGTAAACCATTCGTCGTGTTTAAGGCGGAACATATCGTAAATAATTTCAAAACAGATAGAATCATGCTCCTGCCCTCGAATTTCAATAAATACGATAGCGAGCTCCCGGGCGCCGCACGCCCCGCACCGCACTGCCTCGACTTCCAAGCGCCGTTTCTACGTTGTTGCGAAAGCACAATATTCTGCTTATCAAGAACCATAAAACATGTACGGGACCAAGGTAACAATAATAAAGCAACCAAAATCGTTTCTTATCGAGTTTAGATACATTTATGGAACACGCAGGCCAGAATAGTCCAGAACATATCCTAACCTAACCTAACCTAACCTAACCTAACCTAACCTAACCTTACCTAACTGAGAATAGACCAGAACCTAAGCTAAGCCAAGCTAAGCTAGCCTGACCTGACCTGACCTAACCTAACCTAACTTAACCTAACCTAACCTAACCTAACCTCCCCACCCTATATCCCCTTCAACCCAGCATCTCATTAGGCATCCATGTTCCATGCCATATAAAGGTGCCATATAGTGAGCTTTTATTTAGCTGCCATGTTCTCATTTTGCTTTACATTCCCCACTCAATCCCCCTGCAACCCATGGTCCCGTTGGCGTCGAGGATCAAATTTCATGGATTCTTGCTACCTTGTCCCGGTACATTTTTATGGTTCGCAGTAAATATGGTTTATAGTTATAGTATGGTTTATATAGTATAGTTTATAGTTATAGTTCTGGTTTATAGTATGGTTCGCAGTTAATATGGTTTATATGGTAAATATGGTTATGGTAAATATGGTTTATGTTTAGTAAATATTTTTATGGTTCGCAATTAGGTTATGGTTGTCCTGCCTTAAAAATGACGAATGGTTTACTTTGGTCCCGTACATTTTGTACAGTTCTTGGTACGCAGAAATATTGTATTTACGCAACGGCAACGCGGAAACGGCGCTGGGGAGTCCAGGCGGTGCGGTGCGCGCGGCGCTCGGGGGCCCGCCATCGAAGTTATTGAAATTCGAAGGTAGGAGCATGATTCTACCTGTTTTGAGATTATTTACGATATGTCATGCCTTAAACACGACGAATGGTGTACAACGATTTTTTCTAACGTTAGGTAGGAAAGTACACCCTGACCGAATTTTCCTTTTCACTTAAGCTGCCCACTCCCCACCCACCTTGGAATTGAGCACCCCCAACTTTTGGGGGAAAGCAGGCTAAATCTTAGGGAAGCCCCCATTTGTTGGCATATTTTGAGGGCATGTTGAATCATTTTTCACTCTGCCTCTCCCCCCAATCATTTTGGGAAGTTACACCACTAATATTTCATGCCTATGAGTGCTACCTTCTAAAGCAGGAGAGTAAATTGTTAAATCTGGGTGGTCAGGGCTTATAGGCATAGGCATTCTAATGACTTAGGGTGTCTGTACTGATCACCAAGGCTTGATTGACCACTCTATGTTTCTGCCTTTTGTTGTCTATGTACCATACTGGTGTTAAGCAGGCATTTTTGCTTCATTTTAGTGATATAGTCTATAACAGAGTATGGTGCATCAAAAACTGACAGGAATGGTGTTGTATGATGTGTGAGGTCTCACTGATTCTGGGCAGCAAAACCCCACTACTGGGCAGCATTCTATAGGGCAGCATCTATATAGGGCTTCAGGTGTAAAATATGAAGGTCAAATTGTCATGTTTTAGAAACTACACCATGTTAGCATACACAAGCAGGGAAGGATTACAGACAGAGGTTTCTGGTTCTGACAATCTCACGAGAACTTTGTGCAGTTACAGTCCATCTGCATTGCGGATTCTGCATTGTTCCTCCTGACCCATGCACCATCCCCGACAAAACCATAAGTGCACTATTGGTGCTGACACATCTTGAAATTTTCAGGCATTTCCTCATTGCTACAAAAAAGCATGGCTGAACCATTTGACAGTCTGCCCTCCGACGACGATTCCGCCGAGCCAGAGGAGGTTTGGGGCACGGCGGCCGCCGGCGATCCCCGTCCCTCCCACCGGCGCTGCATCGTGCACATCGACATCGACTGCTTCTACGCGCAGGTCGAGATGCTGGAGCGTCCCGAGCTGCGGGAGCTCCCGCTCGGCATCCAGCAAAAGAACATTGTCGTCACCAGCAACTACGTGGCGCGTGCACGTGGCGTCGGCAAGTGCTGTTACGTCGCCGAGGCGCTGCAACGCTGCCCCGACCTGGTGCTTGTGAACGGCTCCGACCTGACCCGTTACCGGCGCATGTCGGCGCGCGTCCACCGCGTGCTCACGCGCTTCTCACGCCGCGTCGAGCGGCTCGGCTTCGACGAGAACTTCCTGGACGTGACGGAGGCGACGGTGGCGCGGCTGGCGACCGAGACGCCGGCCAACGCCGACGGCCACGTGTTCGGCGACCGGCGCGATGGCTGCGCGTGCGGCTGCGCGCCGCGCCTGACGACCGCGTCGCACGTGGCGGCCGAGGTACGGCGCGCGCTCCGCGACGAGCTCGGCATCAGCAGCTGCGCCGGCGTCGGCTTCAACAAGCTGCTGGCCAAGCTGGCGTGCGCGGCGCACAAGCCCGACCAGCAGACGACCGTGTTCGCCGGCGGCGTGGACGCGCTGCTGCTGGGCGCCGGCGCGGCGCGCGGCCTGCCCGGCGTTGGCGCGCGCATGGCCGAGATGCTGGCCGAGCTTGGCGTGCGCTCCGTGGAGGACCTGCGACGCGCGCCGACTGAGCGGCTGCGTGCCGCGCTCGGTCGCGGCGCCGACACCGCGCGCGCACTGGCGTTCGGTGCCGACGAGGCCGAAGTGAAGACGTCGTCGGCGGCACTTAGCCTCGGCGTTGAGGACGGCTTTAAATGCGTCGACAACGTGGGGGAATGCGAGCTGAAGCTGCGGGAGTTGGCGCGCCGCGTGCTCAGGCTGCTGCGCGAGGACGGCCGACCTCCCACCGTGCTAAAGGTTTCCGTCCGGCGCTACCACAAAGACAACTATTACCGCTTTCGCGAAAGCCGACAGAGCAAGGTGCCGCCTTCGCTGTTCCCCAAGGCCGTCTCACACGCCGATGACATCGAGGTGGTCGACAGGGTCGTGGCGGAGGCGATGGTCCTGCTGAAGAAGATGCTGAAGAACGAACCCTTCCATCTGACGCTGCTAGGCCTGATGGTGACCGGTTTCTCGGAACCGAGCGAGTCGGCGCAAGGAGGCATCTCGAGGTTTGTGCAAAAGGCGACCTCGGTACCGGTCAAGAGGAAGAAGTCGATCGACTCGGCGGAGGATGATGATCCGGCGCCCGGAGGGGTGGACAGGGCTGTGTGGGCTAGCCTCCCGTCCGACATCCAATCGGAGCTCCTCCAGGAGCAGAGCTTCGGTTTCAGCAAGAGGCGTAAGCAGCAGTCGATCGCAAAATACTTTGACGGAGCCTCGAGTTCGACCTGTAAGCTGGAAAGTAACGCAAATGTGGTGGCACTGGACACGGGTCCCGACGTCCCGGAGACCGTCTGCAGGTGCCCTCCTCGACGCAGCAGTGCGTCGCCGGTGGAGGTCATAGAGCAGCTCGACGGTGGTGACAGTGACCTGGACGACCCGGGGTCGCCGGTGGTCTCTCGCTCGGCCGTCAAGCACGCAGTGGACGTCGGGTCAGTCCCGTGGAGCCCCGCGATTCCTACCAAACTCGCCGGCACGTCTGAAATAGCGGAGAGAAGAGACCCGCCGGACGTCGCCGCTCCCGGGACTGGCACCTCCGACAATCCGTCGGGCAGGTCCGGACCATCTCACTCTTCGGCGTCAAAACGCCGTGCCGCAACGGACCCTGCTGTCGAGCTTGTCGACCTCGCGGTGCCGGAGCTGGCGGACTCGACGCCTCCTGAACCCGACCCCCCGGCAGAGAACCCCGCGTCACCGGCAGACCCATCCGACTCCCGGGCGGTGGCGCGCGGGCCGTCCCCGCCCGGTACCCGGCGGGAGGTGGGGTGTGCGGGACAGGCACCGAAGGCTTGCGGTGTGCCGGCTCCGCACCCCTGGGACCAGGACGTGTTTAGTCAGCTGCCGCCCGACATCCAGTTCGAACTCAAGATGGCGCAACGGGCTGAGCGGCGGCGGTCCTGCGCGCCGTCGCCAGCGCGGTCCAAGGACAGGACGCGCACCGCGGTCGCCAAGAACGGGCTCATCATGAGGTTCTTCAAGAAGTGATTGGGTGTCTCGAGGCCGTGGACTGGTCGGGTGGCCAGTTCTCATGCACGTACTCTGCTGTCTTTACTGATCGTGGAACATGTGTTTTCGATCTGTTGGAGGCGTCGGACGATCGTCGATAACCTGCCGCTGCTGCTGGAGCGGCCTCGCTCGCCAGGTCGCTGGCACACCGGTCTTTCCATACAAGTGCCATGCACGCGTCATGCGTTTGTCATTAACGTCATGTCACGCTGATAGGCATGCCGCCGCGCTTTGAAGCACCGGCGAGGCACCCACGGGACCAGAGCTTACGCATCTTGGATCCAGAGGAGTTGAGAATGAACGCTTTACTTGTCGATCCTTGTTTGTTGAGCCTTTCCCTCTAGTCTGGTATGTCCTCAACACGTGTCTTGCCAGCGGCCTTTCGACGGAAGAGACAAACGCTGTCGTGGTTCGCTATCTGTATTGCACATCCGACTAGATTCCTTTAAATTCGTGTTGTACAACCGACATATATGTCTGCATCCAGCCTTAATCGGACGACCACGTATACGAGTCAACACGCCACATATCGCGTTCGTACACATCAAGAGCAAAAAGGTTCAAAACAAAATGACTAAGTACCGACTGGATCCGATACTTCTCTACGAGGATCTGCACACTGGTAGCACTACTGTGTTCCTCAAGCGCGCCTTACGCGTATGGCACGTCACGTAAACTCGCTGATGGCCACTTTGGCAAACACCAGCAACAACTGTAAACAGTCCATGCTACAGGTGAGGACACAGCTACGGCCAGATCTACAGCCAGCACCCATGGTATCTACGGGTCACAAAATATTTGATCTAGGCACAATGAGAAAACGGGATTAGTAACATTAAGCAATATGAATGTCTCTCGCAAAAACGGGTGGCGTAATTGGGTAGGAAATGGACAAAATATAACAAAACTGGACAAATCACTCCGGAGCCTCGGCACCATCGGAGCAGCCCCGAGCTACAAAACAGGACACATCCTACAGCAGTTGACCGCACCTTCAGCTGTAAGATGGTAACTGCGTTTGCCAGGAGCATTATTCACATAGATAAGACAGTAGTAATAGTATTATTCATCGGAGAAAAATCACGGGAATGGAGATATGCATGGGCTGATTGACATTTCGACGACATGCCTTTACCGAGACAAGAGCAGAAGTGAATTCAAAATTGCTTGCCAATGATCCTACTCGATTTTTCAGTTTTTTTTTAAACACCGAGGCACAGTTTTTACGGGATACCAACATTGGGGGAATTAAACGAGCAGCAGCTGCCAGCCATTACCACGATACAGTGCACAGCCAGGAATTAGAACGCGCGAACATACGTGTACACGCAAACGATTTCTAGTGAACACGCGTCACGCATCACGCTTCATTCAAACATGCAAGCGAGTTGAAGTAAATAGACCTCGCACATCACGCACCAATTGTGCGTGCAAGCGATTTCAATTGAACGCGCATCGCGCATCACGCGTCGGGCATGTATAATTGGTGTGTGAGGCCTGTTTACTTCAACCCGCTTGCATGTTTGAATGAAGCGTGATGCGTGATGCCTGCTTAGGTGAATTCGTTTGCATGTACACGTATTTTCGCGCAATCTTATTCTTAGATATGCACTGTATCTGGCTGATGATTATATTCTTAGATATGCGCTGTATAATGGCTGGCAATTGCCCCTTATTTAGTCCCTGAATGTTGGTGTCCTATAAAAGCCATGGCTCGCTGTTTCAGAAAAACCTGAAAAATCGAGTAGGATTATCGGCAAATAATTTGGAACCCACTTCTGTTATTGTTTCGGTAAGGACACATAGCCGAAATATCAACCTATATACATCTCCATTCTCGTGCCTTTTCTCCGAGGAATAAGGCTATTACTAGTGTTTTATCTATGTAGCCCCCGCTGGTCCAAACCACCGGCCAGCATCTGCACAGATCTGCAACATCTGCAGCGTCCTGATGTCACCGGCACGTCAGGGATTGAGTCACGCCTGATGGGAGAGTCCGCTAGGCCACGCAACAACCAAACGCTACATCCGCCCACGACCTTTCTTGCTACTCTCCCGTTGCGTAACCTCACGGGTTTCGGTGGGCAGGCGAAGAAAGACCAACGGTGCGTCATATAACTGGTGCAGACGGGATGCATAGAGGTGCGCGGTGCGGCGGGTGTGAGTGACGGGACATCCCTCATGCCCACCGACCTGCCGTGCGTCACTCAGCTAGGGCACACAAATCCTGCTGTTCGTGTGGCACTCGGCCGACCTCCATGAGCACCAAACATTCGAAACAGAGCCCGATCCGCCGCTCGTTCAATAACCAGACCAGGATCTACCCGTGGTCCGGGACCAAGGGCGGTCCGCCCGTGGTCAGCGGGCCGGGCGGGGGTCCACCGGCGGTCCCGGACCAGGAGGCGGGCGTTAGCGGCACAGTCGGACAGCTGAGGCCCGGGCTCCGCTAGCCGTCCCCAGAGGCGGTCTCGCCCGTCCGGCCGCTCACGAGTCGGACGCACACTCCCGCACGCCGCGTGCGCCGGTGCCGTCAGCCGGGTCGGCCGCGGTGCCGCCGACCGGCACCTGGTGAGACGCGCACCCGGTCAGCGGTCCGTCATAGGGGGACAGCACGGCACGGGTCCGGGGGACGGGTAGCCGGCTAATCAGGAAAGGTGCGCACATACACTTACTGTAGGAGGAAGCGTACTTCACGTGCGTCGCAAATTACGAGACGCGAAGAACACATGCTACGTGTAATGCTGCCAACCTCACACTCGGGTCGCTGGACAGTCGGGGGAGAGCAGCATGTGGCACATACCCAGAAGGGGTGTTCTAAGACCAGTTCCGCTTCCTTAGACATCTCACGTGCATTGGCTACGGCAATGTTTACGGACAAATCAACTTAAGAAACAGCAACACTTTAAAACAAAGCAGCAAAACATTACGGGCAGAGCGCATTAGCGGCATCACAGGAAGTCTGACCACAGTCACCACAGGCCAGGCTAGTGGTCCCACGAGCCAACAGCACAGGCAAATATGAAAATTAACCATACGGCAATGCTACCAACCTTCTTATCTCCATTAGCCGTGCCCGCCCTCTGGTTCTTCCCTGTCTTCTTTTTTGCCGCTGCGAAACCATTCGGTGCATTAACTTCAATAGCGCACATAATTAGGTCACAAAAGAGCGAATTACTCAAATAAGCGCTTCCATGCCAGTTTCCGTGCCGCCGTTTCCGTTAGTCACTATCACTGCACCGCAATGACAGCTTTGTCTCGTCATTATACCCCTCCTAACATTGCAACAAGGCAGATGTGGGACCTGCGCACGGACTAACCCTGGGCTGCTCTGTCCACATCATCCTCCAGTGAAGCCAGCGAAGCCTCCGTCTGAAAACAGGAGCTGGTTAGCACATCAGCTGGTCGGCTGTCAGCACATGAGCTGGTCAACTGGTCAGCACATTAGCTGGTCAGCTGGTCAGCACAGTGGGGCTGGCGACGTCCGGAAGCGACGCAAGAGCCCAGCTGGTCCCGGCCGAAGCGAAATCAAACGGCAATCAAACAACAATGTAAAAATCAGGCCACGCCCCTCACCCATCACCAGGGCGGAGCGCTACGCTTGTGAAACATTGAGAAACATCAGCAGCGTTGCGGGCTTAGGCTGCGCTCGCCAGCTCTCATCAAGCTAATCTTCACCAGAGGCTGGCGGTGTGTTTTCCACAGCACAACAAACATGACAAGCAGGGCCCAGCGTTCGCTGTGAGGGACGGGCGCCAGTGCAGACCTCTGTTGCGCGGCGTACCTGAGCGAGCGACTCCATGGAGAGGGAGCGCTCGGAGGCCATGCTGTCCGAGGCCACCGAGTCCATCGAGCCCCACAGATCCTGCCGCATGGGAGGCCGGTCAGTGACACGGGTACGGAGAGGGAGAGGGAGAGGGAGAGGGAGAGGGAGAGGGAGAGGAGAGGGAGAGGGAGAGAGGGGAGAGGGAGAGGGAGAGGGGAGAGGGAGAGGGAGAGGGAGAGGGAGAGGGAGAGGGAGAGGGAGAGGGAGAGGGAGAGGGAGAGGGAGAGGGAGAGGGAGAGGGAGAAGGAGAGAGGGAGAGGGAGAGGGAGAGGGAGAGGGAGAGGGAGAGGGAGAGGGAGAGGGAGAGGGAGAGGGGGAGAGGGAGAGGAGAGGGAGAGGGAGAGGGAGAGGGAGAGGGGAAGAGGGAGAGGGAGGAGGAGAGGGAGAGAGGAGAGAGGGAGAGAGAGAGGAGAGAGAGAGAGAGAGAGAGAGAGAGAGGAGAGAGAGAAGAGAGAGAGAAGAGAGAGAGAGAGAGAGAGAGAAGAGGAGAGAGAGAAGAGAGAGAAGAGAGAGAGAGAGAGAGAGAGAGAGAGGAGAGAAGAGAGAGAGAGAAGAGAGAGAGAGAGAGAGAGAGAGAGAGAGAGAGAGAGCCGGCTGACAGTGCACGCAGTATCGCCGCGGGTTCGCCACCGCACCCATACACACGCCCGCACCGCAACACACGAAAGGCAGCGGCTCTGCGCGTCGCGACGGGGCGTGGTACACACCTCTGGGTCCGGCTGCTCGACCTCCAGGTCAGACGGCGGCTTGTAACGACACGGAACATCTCTGTACACTGATGGCATACACACTAACAGTTTGCGCGGACAGTTCCGTTGAGACCACACGACCCGAAGGCGGCCCACGAACTGGAGGCGCCGATCATGGCCGGGTCCGAGGTAATGTGATCATCACAGTCTACCAGCAGATGCACGATTGCCCGAGCTGACAAACGGGCTAGTGACAGCACGCCCTCACAGGAACACAGACGTAGACTCTACAGAACACCATCTGGTATAAAAACCGATCACCACAATCTCAATATCTAATCACCACAACTAAAGCGTTTCTCCCGCAAGTCAAACTTGGGTCGTAGCTGTCAGCCATACACGACGATATATTGGCTGCCACGCCATTGACCCAACCTTTAACAATGTGCAAAGCAGAATACTTCCCTGACATCAGCGATCACAGCGTACAGCGCACATAATAAGGACTCATCCGTTGAGCCCGCTTCTTCAGCTCTTTCCGTGTTCGTGTACAACTATTTACAACTCGTGTATGCAGTATCAGGCATGCGTGACTATATTTGCAGGCTGTACGTCATTTCTTGGGCCAATAGTCCAAAAACTACTGATAGCACCAGGTCAGTTTACCCTAACCATCCTGTAAAAACGTACTTAACGACAACCACACCAAATTCAGCGACTCAGCTTGTGGACTATGCAGATACAACGGATCCACAGATTCGAGTTCATGCAACTCACCGAATCCCCACCAAACTGATCCTCCTGGACCGCGTCCTTGGCCGCGTGCGCAGACAGACAAAGGTCAGTCAGCCTGCCCAGAGCCAGCCACGGCAGGGCGCCAGCGGATCGCCAGCTTACCATCGACTCCTCCCACGCTTCAGACAGGGGCGACACCAAGCGCTAACCACATCACCTGCCTCACCTGCTTCAGCGCCTTGATATTGGAGCTGATCTTGGCGACGTTCAGCTTCTCCGACACAGTGCTCATCTGCTTCATGATGCGCTCCATAGCCCTCTCCGTCTCCTCCAGGCGGCGGCGCAGCTGGTCAATCTCGGCATCCTCTGAGGACACCGAGGGCACGGGCGCACGCTACAGGAGCTGTATGATGACAACAATCAGTCTTGAGCATTCTCTGGGGTCATGGCCCAGTTACGATACCCCCTCCAGGTAAGGATCTTCTGAAGGCATGGGGACACGGCCGTTCTGCATTCTCTGAGAACACGGAAGACACCGGGTGAAGCATCGGCGTTGTATGAAATACAGAAAATATCTCACAAAGGCGAGATCCGTCAAACAAGCCTGCGTTAACCACTGCGCGTCTGGGAAACCAGAGGTCTGGGTTCGATTCCCCGCGATGCCCGTCCTTCCTGCCCGGGTAAGAGACAGGCAACGCCATATAGCCTCAGCAGCTGAGTGTGTCGTAAAGCCCCATGACAACGACGACGATCTGAACCTTCCGAAGATATAACAGCTCGACGCTCCTTGAGGACACGCACGTATGTCAACATCTTAGCACATCAGCAACAAACAGGATACCGTTGGAGCCTTCCAGAGGCGACTGTATTTCATTAGGAATAAACTGAAATGCGTGAACAAAACATTAATCAAATGAAGAAATAATATAAATTAAAATGAATAAATAGATCAATGAAGATATCTGAATGAATTAACAAAATTCATGCACGTACAAAATGAATGGATTTATGTACAAATGCAATCAAAGAATGAAACCAATGAAATATCTCATATCAATTTGAGCAGTATCGCATGCCTCAAGCACATGTGAGCCACGGCATCTCGCCACCTGAATCGGCGCCAAGCAAGACCACTTCATGTTTGGAATATAGTAATTGGAATTCCAACATGAAGCTCTGCTAAATTCAGAGCCAGGTGCAACGTTCTGTTCTGAATTACTCACGCGCAACACAAGTGCGGGAACAGTAACAGGTAATAACACCACACGACGCATCCATCCGGCAACGATCAAAGCGACTTCGTCAAAACAGGAAAAACCGGCCTTCGCCTCCACCATGCGAGCACTGTACAGCAGAGGTGTATATGGAACTGCGTACCCAAGCGAAACCAGCTAGCCACGAGCTGCGCCTAACTCAAACTTCCGACGCAGATGCGCCACAAGATGAGCGCACATCACGCGTTATGTGGAGCTGATCCCACACGCAGCGTGTGGCCCAGCCCAAGGCTGACCAGCGGCCCGCCTCCGCGTCACCGCGTCACCCCACCCAGCCTCACTTTCATCGGACGTCTGTTCGGCGACGGTCTCCAGCTCTGAGCCGCGAGTCAGAACAGGCGACGGGTCAGAGCGCTACGGTTTCCAGCAGGATACACGAGCACGCTGACACACCACGGACAGCAACGCCAGCGGCACCTCAGACCGGCAGCGGCCTGAGTCTCGAAGCACGTCATCTCAGGGAGGCAACACCAGTCCCCCTTCCCCCCCCCCCCATGCCACACATCATCCATGAGAGGCATCTGACCCGATCCCTGTCCGGGCAACACTGCACTCTGGTGGCACACACCGAGCAGCCATAGACCAGTCCCCCCCCCCCCCTGCCAGACATCACCCAAGAGAGGCATCTGACCCGATCCCCGCCCTGGCAACACCGCACTCCGGTGACACATGCCGAGCAGCCACAGATCCGCAGCCCAGCCCTCCAGCTGCCCCCGTTGGTGTGTCGGTGACAGATCTGACTCTGCCTGCCGCGGCGCCTTCATCGCTGGTCCTGTCCTACCCACCTCACTCCAGCCCCAGCCGCCTCAAGCGTCCCCCCAGGACCGCGGCGCCGGCCCAAACCTCGCCGGCTCGCGACGGAGTGATCCGACCTCAGCTGGTGTTGGCTCGTATCGGCAGCGGGGAGAGGACAGGGCTCGCTCGGCAGCAGGGGAGGGCGTGCCAGGGACACTGCACTGGCCAGCTTGGTGCATTGCATTTGAATGACGCTATGACGAGCGGGAGCTGGATAAAGTAGCGACCAACCGCGTCGACCAAGTTCGACATGACCTGGGACCGTACCCGCAGAAGCAAGTCTGTACAGACGGCAGATCTGCAGTCACAATGGAAACCAATAGCGGGGGACCTTCCTCGTACCATCCCACCCCCGGCCGCGCCCTGACCCAGCGGTGCTGCTGACCTGCGGCGGCGCTCGAGGCCGGGGTCGGGGCCGGCGCCGGGCGGGGCGCCGTCTCGGCCGGCCGCCGCACCACCACCGGCCGGTGTCGCGGCGCCGCCCCGTTGGCCGCCGCGCGCTGCGGAGTGTACGGCCGGTACTCGGTCGTCAGGTGGAAGTCCTTGATGACCGGATCCTTCGTCGGCTCGCCGTCCTCCGGGTTTTTAAACATCACCTGCCGAAGACAAGTTAGCGGAGCCCCCTCACACACGGCCGCAGGACAGCGGTCTTTGTATACCGAGCGGCGTCTCGCATTAATGAGTTGCCGGTGTATGTTGGACGACTGAATTCAACGAGGTTTTAAGCCTGCTGCCAGGTCGTTTTTTAAGCGATATGGGCTGTCTTATACTGTTTATGCGTGCATGCGTTTATATGTTGCTCGTCCCTGATCATTTTCCGTTGGTTTTTGACATACAGCTTTATCTTTCAGACTAATGACACGCAACACCCACGTATGTATGTGGAGTGTCAGGGGATGTCAAATAAAGTGCAAAACAGAAATTTTGATGATAAAAAATATATTCGTACCGCTATCAGCAATGCCCGGCGCAGAATTCCTGGAACGGCAATGTGATATAGGGGGGGGGGGGGGGGGGGGCACGCCATCGGGGTATCACAGGAAGGAAATAAGCGGGCCGATCGATTGGCTAAGGAAGCATTGGCGTCCCCTCACATCACACATTTTCTTCTTCACCTATACTAAAGCTACTATAAAAATGACCATCCACAACTTGGAAAGACAACTTCGGTAACGACAATGGCCACAAAATGCTGGAACTCAACTTCATGCCATAAAACTTGAAATACCACCTTGGCCATCAGTAAACCAGACAGCCCATTTAAAAGAAAAGGTATTGACATGCCTTCGAATTCGACATACAAAGATCATACGTGGTTATTTACATTTGAAACACCCGCGTCCCCTGTGTCATCAGCGTGGTCGTCCCCTTTCGGTTAAACCTATTTTGCTTGAATATGACAACCTGCAGCGCCAGCGGGAGACACTGGAAGTATATTGTCGTCAACACGGCGTTGCGTTTTCGTTACAATTTCTTCTAGGTCATGACCATCCACAGCCATTTGACCTTTTATTCAATTTTTCAGCGTACCGAAATGCTTCGATTGTTGTGAAGGGGTGACGATATAGTAGGGTTACTCCTCCCCCCAAACACACCTTTTATGTCATTGGAGCTTTACGACGCACTCAGCTGTTGAGGCTATATGGCGTCGCCTGCCTCTCACCCTGGCAGGAAGGGCGGGCACCGCGGGGAATCGAAACACATATTTTAGTTTTAGTTGAAATAGACCTTGTTGAGGCGTGAAATGGTCAGAATTGGCCAAAACGCCTCAAACCAAATAAAGTAAAACAAAGTGAGATATAATACACACTGTACAACCTGACAACGGAGTGTTTCTCACTCTTCGTGATCCGTCCCTCTCTGGACGCATTTCACTTTCTGTCAGTCTGGGCCGGCGTCACCTTGATGCTGGCACCCATGGTTCACACCGGACCAGCACAACCACCGCAGCAGCGCCACAGGGCAACTACCGCCATCTTTCTCTGGCGCCGTCGAAAACAGTGACGTGTGCGACATTGCGAACCCGACGTGATCTACCGACGCGTCAGCTTAAGTTGGCCGAGAGCGAGCCAGATAGTGCAGCGATGGACACGGAAGCCTAGGGCCGTCGCACCGTTTGCCATCATTTCGGGCTTCCTGACTTCTCAACTGAGGAAGCAGAGCTGTGGCTGATACAAGTCAACTACGCCTTCGACGCGTCCGAATCGACGATCCCGCCTCCAAATTCAAACCGCTTGTCGCGAGTCTTCCGATGTCCGTGGCTGCTCAGGCTCGCAATGTCATCATCGAGCAGGCCGGAGACTACAGAGCCTTCTGCGAAGCGCTGCATCAGCGATTGGCCATGTCCCGTGCCAACCGTCTGGACGACCTCTTACGCCATCAACAGCTCGGGGACCAGGCTCCATCCCAGGTTGTACGTAACATGCGTGGGCAGTCGGCGGCAGGTGACGCCCCACCCCACAGCGGTCTTTTGAGAACGTTGTTTCTACAACGGCTTCCCCAGACGGTCCGAGCAGCTCTCGCACTGCTCCACATCCCTAGATGATCTGGCCCGGGCGGCAAACCGTTTTCTCGAAGCCTCGCTCTCCGCAGCTGCTGCCGTCGCCGCCCTCTCGGTGTTGCAAACCAACGCACAGCCACCCACGTCGCTGTCTACCGGTCATCCAGCTCTGCATGACGTCATCACCAGCCTGACAGCCGTGGTTAGCAGACTGGAGACGTCGAGTTAGCGATTGGAAAAGGCTGTAAGCCGGTCGCAGCAGGTCGGACCCACAGCTGATTGGAATCGCCGACAGCAGTCCACATCGAGACGGCGCCGTTCTTCGCAGGTGGAGGACCGTATCTGCTACTGCCACCAGCGCTTCTTGTGTTCAGCCCCGTGCGTGGAAGTCCCAGGCGGAAAACAAGCAGGCCTGAAGCCGCTGGCGCCCGCAACTTCAGGCCGACTGCCGCTGACGCAGCTGTTCTTCGCCGAAGACAGCCGGCTTGGTCGGGCGCTGCTAGTGGACACTGGGGCATAAATTAGCGTACTACCGCCTGCCTCCCTGCCACCCGGTTCCGACGTGACGCCAACACAGCTCCCTCGGTTGGAGGGCCCCGCAGGGGCACCGGCTTCGGTCGGTGTAGGGGACCAGCGCCCCCTCGGGTCCCAGCTCCGGTAACGGGTGGACAGCGCAAGCTGTTCCTCTCAGGGCGTAGCGACCCTGCCGGTACGTGAGCCCCTTCTCCTTGTCCCGCTCGTTCCCTCCCCGTTACTCATTTTCCTGCATCCGGCCCACTCATCACTCCTCATCCTCGTTTTATCGGGGTCGCCGTGCCCCCTCGCCCACGTCCCCGGGTTGGTCGGATCCTGGTGGCTGAGGGGCGCGTCGTGCGGGTCAGTCACGACGCGTCCCAACACTCCACTTTGGCCAGGATATCCGGGGGCGTGGGGGGCCCGTGGGGCCCCACACGGGTCTAGCGGCTTGTCGCTCGCGTTGCGGTTGGGTGCTCCTTGCGGGTCTCCGCTTGGGGCGCCTGACCGCGCGCAGCGGCTGAAGTGGTCAAGGGGCGGCGGCGCTGAACCACGGTCAGGACGGGGAGGGGTCTCCCCGGTTACACCTGGCCGTGTGGGAGGCGTCGTTCGCCGTGTATAGCACCGGGGTAGCCCTGGCGGTAACCAACTCCCGAGGGAGTGTTGGGCCGTCCCCCTGTTGGGCTCCGAGGTGGGTGGGGAGCCCCGGCGCCGAATGCTTGGAAAACAAATTGCATGGCTTCTCAAAACCCAACAAACACCCGGCCTCCGAAAGGAGGTCGGACAGCGCTGAGGCCCAGGTGCGAGGGGGACTCGGCCCCCCCCCCCCTTGTCCTCGGATTCTGATCTTCTCCAGCGGAGATATAAAGCTTTCCACCCTGTCACCGTTCCAACGACGCAACGGTTGTGACAAATTTGGAGACATCACGAGGTGTGACAAGCTGAGGGATGGCAACATCGAGGTAGAGTTTGCCAGTGGTCTGGAGGCCAAGCGTGCATTAGGAGCGAAGGAGTTCATTTACAGTATTCGTGATGAGAACGGGAAACATAACAAAACCTTATCTTTGATAGTTACACCACACAACACAAAAAACTCATCTAGAGGCGTCGTAAATTGTTTTGACCTCCGTGATGTAAGTGAGAGCGAAATCGTCGAGGAGCTTTCGGAGTTCGGCGTAACCGCCGCGCGTAGAATCCTGGTCAGGAGAGGACGAGAACTGAACGCTACCAACATCATTCTCACTTTCAATCGTCCGGGTCTACCATCAGATATCCGCGTGGGCTATGCCCGCGTGAAAGTCCGTCCTTTTGTTCCCAACCCAATGCGCTGTTTCCAATGTCAACGGTTCGGCCATACAAAACCCCATTGTCGCAATAATCCAGTATGCATTAAGTGTTCATCCACCACTCACCTGAGTGACAACTGCGCCGCTGACCAGCCTTATTGCGTCAACTGTGGTAAGGACCAAACACCACACACTGTGTTTGACCGTTCATGTCCAGCGTTCGTCAGAGAAAAGGAGGTACTTTCGCTAAAAGCGTCCAAAAACATATCTTTCCGAGAGGCCAGAGACCTGTACGACGCGAGTCATCCTAAGCTCTCGTATGCATCGAAAGTGAAGACTGCTTTGCCGCACAACGTCATCGAGCAGATGACTGTCATTCAGTTCGTGGGACTCTTGAGATCTTTTGGTCTCACTGTTGTACCATCAGCGCGTACACCGGACTCCCAGCCAGCAGTCCGGACCCCCTTCTCGCCGGCCGACGACTCTGTGGCGGATGTTGGCGTCCGGGCTAAGCCCCGTGCTCCATCCCCGGCGTCTGGCCGGTCAGCACCCTCCGTGTTGCCGACTCCCCCGGCGCCGCTGTCTCCTGCCGGAGAGGAGGGTTGGACGATGGTCCGGCGCGTCCGTGGCCCGCGGGCTCCACCGGCCTCCACATCGGTTCCCTTGCCACCCTCGTCCGCCTCCGCCTCGCGTGCTCCGCTGCCTTCGTCACCTCCGACACCACTAGCGAACGCATGCGGGCTGGCGATAGAAACGTTGGAGCGGCACGAGGCGGACAGGCGCGCCCGCGATGCCAAGCGGGCACGCCTGGCCGAACAAGAACGGGCAAAGGCGGCGAACCGTACGTCTGGGGCGGGCAAGGAGTCCGTCCCTCGCAGCGGTGCTCCATCGCCCCGAAAACCAGTTGAGCCTCCCGCTGGTCCTCAGATGTCTGGCAGGGCTCCATCCCTGGGTCCTACCCCTCCACCACCCAGGATTGGGCACGCTGGCACAAAGCGCCCCCCAGCCGGTCCTCCGTCTCCATCCGACGGAGGAAGCGCAAGGATTCGGCCCAGAGTGGAGCACCGCTATGCGGAATCGAGCCGTACCTCCCAGACCCAGGTGTCCGGTCCTGCAACGGGCGCAGCCCAGTTCTTTTGAACCATGTCGCGTCTTAAGGAGTGACTTTGACCCCTTTTTAGTGCGCCCCTTTGCAGGCTTATTGACAGTGATATTCTGCGCGCTGTGCTGGTGAGCTAGGTGTGTAATGGCTACCCTCACTTCTTAGCTTTATGACAAGTATCTTACAGTGGAACTG